TGCTGCCTGCTAGCGACATTTTGTTTTTGGTTGTTTTACGTAATTGCTTTGCAATTTGTGTATGGCGAGCTGATAGGCATCAGCCAGCCTCGGTGGGTTGTCATTTCGGCATGGCGTATTGATGTCAAGTCTTTACTCTCTAGGCTATTTTTTACATACGATTTAACACTTGCTTACGACCGTGGCGTAACGTTTTTTAAGCCTACATTACGCAGTGCTATAGTCTATCCTAGGTAGTCCCTCTCTGAACCCCGCCCATCACCACATACCGTCGAGTATTCATGGGACACTGAACCACCCTCCGTCTCTCTCCAGGCCAATCCGTCTCCGCTGCTCTCGTACACCTGGCGGCGCATCATTCTGGACGAGGCTCACCAGATCCGCAACCGGAACACAAAGTCGGCCAAGGCTGTCTGTGAGCTGCAGGCAGACACACGCTGGCTGCTCTCCGGAACACCGATACAGAACGGACGCGAGGATCTGTTCAGTCTGATGCGCTTCCTTCGCGCGGCGCCGTTCCATGAGTATGAGGTGAGGGGAGAGGAAGGTGTGGGTGGTAGAGGAAACTGGTGGAGAGGATTGGGTCAGAAGGGAGGGAGGGCGTGGTTGGAAGAGAGGGGTTAGAAGTTTCATGGGGTGATTGGATTTGTATGCTCGGACGATGCTACAGTGCGATATACGCTGTATAGCGCAAGAGATTGTCACGGACTTGGAGCTCAGAACTTTTATCGTGATTTGCTTACTACACTAGCGTTATCGTAACGCTGAGCTTATTCATTAAACGAGCACACGTTTTGCCTTCCGACGCGACCCAGCAAATATCAGGTGCTGGGCACACGTTGGAACAGCTGACCCCGCCCCTCCCACCCCACCCCTCGAGCGTTCCAGAAACCCACACCACTTCTCCTTCCCAGATCCCCTAACTATCTCACGCTGCCGACCAGGTGTGGAAGCGCTGGATCGACAAGAGTCCGCGCGGTGACGAGCGTCTGAGTCTCATCGTCCGCGCGCTGGTACTCCGACGGACCAAGGACCAGGTCTCCCCGGACACAGGTGAGACCGGCGACGGTCCCGGTCCGGACCGCGTGGTCCGTCCGCCGGACCGTGCTGGAGACATTGGTCTGGGCGAGCACCCTAGTGAGTCGTAGGGGCTGAGCCCGTCCGTTAGAACAGGCCGCCCAGCCCCCCCCCCCCCAAGCACTCACTGCATCCGGCTACGGTTGGCTCCAATGGGAGCTGCCTTGCCCGCATGGGATAAAGTTGCCCATCCAGCCCGGAGCACGGGGTTTAGGTGTGGAGAAGGATTTGAATGTCCTGAGGATGGGAAAGACGGGACGGCTGCATTTTGTGCTTTTTGTGTAACTGGTCGTACTTCCATTCAACGCCCTCTGATATTAGCGTTCTTTTTTTTTGCTGTTTGTTTTATTCCATTGACTTATGCTGTAGCAAGGAAAGGAATTCCTCGAGGAAAAGGAAAACCTACATTTCGATGTCGGTATCTCTAACGTTCGGGATTGTGCCTACCGTCCGATATAACCCGCCGCCTGCCTCCCGTGGTTCGCAGGTCGGCCGCTAGTGGCGCTACCTCCGCGGGAGAAGCGCTACCACACTGTGGAACTGGACGATCGTGAAAGACAGGTCTACGACAAGGTGTTCGCCTTCTGCCGGTATGTGGGCGTTGCCACGGTGGGCGTGGTCTCAATGGACTTGGGTGGGGTCTTTTATCGTTATCAACTTCACTGAGCATGCGTAATGGTACTGAGAGGTAACTAATGCGATTGATATCCCTCATTTTCCCGGGTTATAAAAGGTTGTGAAGAGGCTCATATAAATATGCATCATGTTTCCACCCAAGTCTAACATAACTCCTCGTGTATCTTTTCAGCTCCTCTCTGCAGGAGTTCATCAAGCTCCAGGAGGAGCGCGAGTACGAGAAGGAGCTCAAGACGAACCCGCACGCCCGCCCGCCGCCCGGACTGAGCGCCACCTCCCTGAGCGCTGCCGCCGGCTCTGCAGCGCGGCTCGGCCTCGGAGGTGAGTCGGGGTACCTCGGCAGGGGGCGGTCGCCGGGCTGGCCATGTGATGGTGACGGGGTCGTCTGTTGGCGGGTCAGGTCGCAAATTTAACTTCAGGTTGGCTTGCCGTGACCCGACGGCAGTAAAAGGGTAAGTCATTGTGGTCGGCTTCTGGTCATGCGCTACCCCGGGTAAGTCAATCTCCTACGGTTCTCAGAAGTTATAAAGCTTCATCGGACTAACGACGTTTATCACTTTATCTTATCCGCCGGTATCGTTCGTACATCGATCACCAATGGAGTTTTCTGTGTTACCTGCGTGAACATTAAACAATTCACATTCAAGCGTACTGTGCTGCCTCCGTCCGACATCATAAAACGACACACGGAAAGAATCAGCTGTCGAATTGTCTCTGTCGGTCAGGCTGGGCCGAGTTTTCCGGTCACTGCACTCACCCCTCCCCCTACCCTTTACGGTCGGGGCGATCCCAATCAAAGCGATCGCGCCTGGTAGCCAGAGACAGGATGAACTAACTGGACGAGCTGCTATTCGTCAGTCGGTTGGACAGGACAGTGGGGGGGGGGGGGGATTGTATGGGGGGTGATGGGTGGGGGGGGGGACGGAAGTTGGGGCGTGGTCCAATAGCCATATCCCGTGGTGGAAGTCATAAAAACGGCTTTTTTTACAAGCCGCGGGTTTGGGTAGTCGACAACGAATGCCGTGGGATGCTGATTAGCGTTAAAACGCTATACATATAGGATCGGTGGCTCGACCATGACCCTCGCGTAATGTCAGCTAATTCCAACAACAAATACCGCCCATGCCTCAGCCTTCCAACATTTCCTGGTTTGGCCAGTTTGTGTACGGAATGGTGACGTCGCTTTGATAGGATCTCCGGACACTGTCACGTATGACGCTAATAAGAAATTAACCCGGCAGTTGCTGGGGTATTTCGCCACCCACCGTTTGCTGGGGGGGGGGGCGTTAAAGGGACCCTCCCACCTTCAAAAAAGTTAATGAATTGGCATGAAAGTGATGTCGCCCGGTTCAGAAAGAGCAAAAACGAATATCTACCAAATTTCATCGAAAAATATTCACCGGTTTTCAAGATATTAGACTTTTACTTTTGTTTACTTTTTGGGATCTCCGCTGTTCCTAGCGACTTTATTTGAAAGTGCGGCATTTGTTGCGCGCAAAGCAGCATATACCACCGCGTGCTACAAAACGTTTTAGTCAAACATTTAACGGACGTTCGAAAGCCTGATGACGTCATCAGACTCCCGTAATGGTTAAGAGATAGGGACCACGCTGGTCCCACCCTGCAAGTAAAGGGAAGAAATTTCTTGAACACCATAAAGCTGCGGGGGTTGCGACCAGGATAAATGGTGGTTTCTGAGCCTGGCCGCAAACTTGGCTATCTCAACTCAAAACTAATGTTAAGGTGGGAGGGTCCCTTTAAACGCCCCCAGCCGATAACTCGAGAACCAATAGGCGCAGCGAAACGCACGAGGCGGCAAACGAAAGAGCGCGACGAGACGCTTCAGATGAGTACTTTAAAGTTGAATTTTGAGGTCACAGGTCGGGTCAAGGTCAGGTCAAACACCTGAAATCGGGCTTTCAGTAGCATGGACTTCAGGACTTCGCAATGGGCGCCTCTCGTCATAAACTCTGTCAAAACGGTGCACAATCCATCATATAAAGCCTACAAGAGTGTCAGCTCCATGTAGGGGTCAGTCAATCATAGGTCAGGGTCAAGGTCAGGTCAACCGGGCAGGGACATATCCCCGAAAATAAAGACTGATATTCGCAGCCTGTGACACATGTTTTATGGGTAATTTGGGGCGTAGAACACGATGGTGACATTCATTTTATCATATGTGTACGTGTTTGGCTCAAAAAGTTCAATTTAAGAAATGCATGTATCATGGTCGTGAAGCGGTCACGAGAAATTGCCAAGATTCAGTTCAAGATTTTGGAAAATGCGGAACGATAATCAATAATCGAAGATAGCCATTTGATTGATCATGGTATTGGCAGTCTAATGGCGTTTACGGCATGTCTGTATGTCTATTCTGTGATTTTATATGATTTTTTGAACATACGCCGTTTTTGGTCGAAAACTCAGAAATCATGACGTCACTAAAACCTCGATATCTCAAAAAATTTATGACTGATCTTTTTTAAAACTTTGTCACAATAAACTTAAATCAATTCCCTACAGGTACCCAAAATTTGGCGCGCCTGCGGCGCGCCGTTTTTATGCTATGGCCCGGCGAAAAAAGTGGGGGCGTTTAACGCCCCCCCCCCAGCAACTCGCGGGTTAATGCCAAGGTCTCTGCCGAAGGTGGCGTTACCTTTGAGGGCGCTGTGTTTTAACAGGGAATCTTCCGTTCGTATTTGGGGTGTGGTCACAACCCGGGCTAACTTCATCGATCTGATGTTCCGATGATCAAGGGACGGCTAACTGGCAGAATATGACAGCTTTGTCAATCGTAACCGATCGGAATAACTGTGAAAAGGCATTTTTGGTAAATGAGCATGCGGATTATTTCCATAATGCCGTTGATTTAAGTTCAGATAAGACATTATAAAATATGAATCATACACCTTGCCAAAAATGATCACAAAGTAGCGTTTTCAATTAAAGTGAACTTAGCCACGTTAGTTCATATTTTTAGTATCATGCCAGTGAACTTTCCTTAAGTTTTTTTTTTTTTTTTGACGAACGGTTGATAACCCATGCTATTACGGTATGTTTTATAACGGAAGTCGACCCACTGTAATTGACAACTCAGAATTCTAGGAGTAAATTTTGAAGAAAGATACTATTTTGACGTCCTTATACCCGGCTACACATCGGTCTTGATAAGACAGAAACATTCATCGTTTATCTTTCGTGAAAAGGTGAGCTCTGATGGCTTGATCAACAAAAAAATTAAACTTTTCTGTGCGGACAGCCTTTTTATATTTAGCTGAAAGACATCAGTCAGTAGACGGTTTATTTATGACGGATGCTGTGACATACGGACACATTACAACAAGTCAGCGCATATTCAACATATAATAAATACTGGAATGTAGAAACAAACCGAGAGCTGATAGTGACCTGTAACGTGTCACCGTGGAAACACGCCCGTGGTCGACCTCAAGACAGCCTCTGCGTATGTCTGTACCTGAGTGAAGCCCCGAGATAGCCTCTGAGCATGTCTTCCTGAGTGCAACCCTGAGTAACACAATGCAGTGACATTCTGGTGACAGGCGCGCTCGCGTGGGTGCTTCTTTTGCTGCGTAATGTCGCCGATTCTGGGCACCTTTCCCTGAGATGGGCTCGTGCTGTACGTTGGTTTCCTAGTGGCTGAAACCCAACCTATTTATCAAAATCGAACAGATCGTCATAATCCAATCCATCATGGTCATCGTCGTCATCATAATCATCATCGTCATCGTCGTCGTCGTCGTATCGGAATATTACACCGGGCCAGCTCGCGACAGGTTTCCGCCCGAACACTGCGAAGACCCTGTTGTTGGAGACGGTCGGCGCTGCGGCCTGCTGGGGTCGCTGTGGCCGATAACGAACGGACGCCTCGAACAGATCATCGTCGAACAGATCATCCTCATCGTCGTCGTTTTCGTAGCAGTCGTCGCGCTCGTCGTGCTGAACGGCGTCCTCCAGAATCTCGCGGAGGTCGAGCGGTGCGCAGACACCTCCACTCAGAGGCCACGGCCGACGGCGGCAGCCGAGCCCGGCACCGCACGGCGGCAGGCAGACGGGTGTGGCCGGCTCCGGCACGCACACTGCGCGCGGCCGGCAGAGGCGGCGGCCGGTGCACCGGCGCCGCCAGATACACCGCTCTCCGGCGCCGCAGCCCGGCGAGCAGACTGCCCGCGGGCACCGGCAGCGGCGGCCGCACGCGCCCGGACAGCACAGTAGACCGGCGGGGCAGTGCGAGTCCGATCGACACCGGTCCCGCGCAGCGCACTGCAGCAGGGAGGCGAAACGCACCGCCGGGCAGGCGGCCCGCTCTGGAACGGGGATGGACACGTTAGGGGGCGGAGATGACACAGTTGGACGTGCAATCATTCGGGGGCTTAGTCATACTGCTCAAGAAAACTTTGCTTCTCAAACCGCTGGCTCTATAACTGATGGTAACTGTTTCCAAATTGTCAATTGCTACACATATGCTTTGCATGCCGTCAGTACAGGCTTACCTGACGTCTGTGCGGCTGTCGGCCCGGCGTCGGCTGCCAGCAGTGTCGCCGGCCCCGTTCCGGATCCCTCCATGACCACGCCCGGGGCCGCCGGCCCAGTACCAGACCCCTCCACGGCTGCGCCCGGAGTCACCGCCCGGCCGGCGCTGGCGAGGATAGCGAGCAGCGCAGCGCGCGCCACCAGACGCGTCGGCAGAGTCCCGGCCATGGCGACGACTGGTCTGCCACTACTGGCCGGCGGGCGGCTCCGCGCTCTTTATGGCGGTGCTCTCCGGGGCCGGGGCGGACCAGCCGGCCGAGCGGACGGCTGCGGCACGCAGGTGATGAAGGACGCCTTCGGATGGCGGAAGACGTGACCCTCAGCAGAGGATAGTCGGTCTGTCTAGCCTCGATATAGAGAAAATTTCTAGGGAAGATACTGATCATTCCATGGTGGTCAATGAAACTGACCTACCTGAAATAAATATTTATCAAGAAGCTATTGAATACCGTTTGAGATTTGAAGATAATCATGGCCCTGTTGTCGACGCACAACAAGTAAGCGAAAAACAGTGATTCGAAGATCAAAAAGACCGAAACTTACCGCTCCCCCCGGTGGGCAGTCTGAATAAATAGTCCCAAAGGTATCCGGTTTATTATAGTACCTGCCGATGTTCGTAATGGATAAATAAGGCTTTTAGATACCGGAGCATTAGCGGCGGAAGACCCCAGGCATGATTAAAACACAGTCTGACTTTGGCGGGAATTTATATTAATAAATCATCATAACCAGTGATACAAAGAAGTCCCAAAATGATACCATCTACTCGTAAGAGTTTAGAACCCAATCATTTATCAACTCGTCAGCCTAGCAGCTCATGAGTCATCGCTTTCCATTTCTTTTGCGTCTGTCGCGGTGAAAGCGTTTCTCTTGTGTGTCGTTAGGTGGCACTGATCTGACACAGCACTGGGTATGCAGGATCATCGTACACCTGGGCATTCCACTGGCCGCCATAGGGATCCGAGTTTATGTAGGTGCATCGATTACCCTCACCATGGTTGGCGCTATGCTTTTCCCAAAGTGACCATTCCAACGGTGATCCGTCCAGCCAGGAGAAGCCAACCACTCCGCCTGCCTGATCTGTGGGGCACTCTCCCTCGCAGCAGAGGCCGATCCACGCCCTCTCCCCGCCCATCACCCGGTCAGCCAGGAACGAGTTGATGGTGTAGTCGATCCTGATTGCAGCGGTGGCGCCCGGGAACAGCGCTCCGCACGCAGTCGCCACAGACGTCCAGGGCATGGTGAAGGGCGACCTCCAGTAGCAGAGGTCGAACAGCTGCTGCCAGTCTTCGGACGGACAGCCGGCGGTGGCCGCGGCGACGATGGCGGCGCTGATGATCAGTAGCGCGAGTCGCATGGCGTCTTGCCTCGTAGACCGGAGGGCGAGGTAGCGCGGGTGGATGGCTGACGGCCCCGAGAAGACTGGCTGGGAGAGGAAGGCGCCGGCGGTCGACAGAGGAGACGGGGAGAGGGAGGGGCACCTGACGACCGCCTGCCACGCCGGTCGAAATCGGCAGGTGGCGGGATCCCGTGCAACCCCGCCGGCTATGTCCGGGGGCATTTGGAGGAGCGCCTCGCCACCGCGGTCATGGCAAGGCAGCGGTGAGTGGGCCTGGTTTTGTTTGTTGTCATGGATTTTTCATGGCAGGCTATTTCGACAGGTTGAGTGTTCTCTGAACATGGTCGTTTCATGTGCAATCTCTTTTAACGCGTTCGTTCGGAAACGCTGCGGTTTCCTTTAGGACTCTGCATCGGCCCGGAGAGTTCCGGGTGTCTATCAGTCTGTGCACCTGTCACCTTTGTCGGGGCTTCTCAGAGGGCGTCTGAATGACGTGAGAAGGTCAGTGCAGCGGCCCGGCGGGTGCCGGCGGTGTCCGGGGTCGGCACACCCTGCGCCGCTGCCGCCCGCGGCGGTCCTGTCCCGGGCCCTCTCCACTTCCGCCTCACCCGGCCCTCTCCGCTGCCCTCACCATGCGGCCGGCGCCCTTCATCGTATTGGCAGCGACCGCGGTGACCGCCGCCTCCGCCGCCTGTCCGTCAGCGGACTGGAAGCCGCTCTTCGACAAGTGCTACTGGGCCTCGCCGTCCAACTTCACGCTGCAGTGGTCCGATGTGCCGGCCGCCTGCAACATCATCTACCCCGGAGCCCGGATGGTGTCCATCCATGAGCTGACTGTGCATGCTTTCCTCTCCGAGAGGATGCTCAACTTTGAGTATGGCTGGATCGGCCTGAACTGCCACAGTCTTTTCTGGGAGGACGGCTCGCCAGTGGACTTCAGTCTCTGGCTTCAACACGAGCAGTTCACTCATAACTGCACCGCCATAACTAACTTCCAGCAAGGATGGAGCCTGCCCGGAGCATGGACATGCGCCAATGTTCTCTGCGACACCAATCTACGGTTCCTCTGCGAGACAGATCAGCTATAATTAGTCTTTCGATAAAGTTGATGCATCCAATCTGTTAGTGCGGCAGATGGTATTCTCTGCGTTTTTATTCACAATCATCTCAATTCAACTAAGTGGACATGTACACTTTTGTTTAACAGATGTCGGCTTTACCACCGTCGAGTATTTACAGAGGTTAATCACAGGGAACAGTGTTTTATCGCGAATGGGAGGGTGTTCTCGGATGCCGTTAATAAAAGGTGACTGGAGTAACATCAAATGCTGTGTTTCGTTTCGTACACTCCTACGAAATACCAATTTACCTACGATATCACTGCGAAAATTGCATTTTAGTAGCAAAAAGGTGTCAAACAACTTTGGTTGGTTTCGAGGCAGTTTGCGTTATAGGACGATGATTAACACCCCCCAGGCAGTCTTTCTGCTCTGCACTCAACATTTTTAGAGCTAGAAGCCTGATTTTTGGTATAGCTGCTCCTCTAACCTTTCTTGATGTCCACTGAAAATTTCAAGTTTCTGTGGTTTTTGGTTTCGGAGATATGACCTTGTTTTTCAGGTCATGTCACGACCCAAATGACCAATTCTCAACATCTTGCGTTGGCTATGGGCCTTGTGAGCTTTTGACACCTTGATTTCGGCCTTTTTTGCCAGTCTTACCTCCCAATCATGGAACATGTTGTTCGACGATGTACAGATGTCAAGGTCAGGGTCAAGGTCAACCTAGGTCATCTAAAATAATTTTTCGTGAAGTTTTTTGACTGCATTTTTGGTAAAAGCTTCTCAGATCATGATTCCAAGTAATATGGACACATAAACACTCGGTGCACACGTCAGTAGGTATACACACGGACACACACAGACATACAAACACATATAATGGACCTTGACCTAACTTGACCTGAAATGACCTCAGCAGCAAAAATCTGGTCGGGTAGTGTGACAAAGAGGTTCTAGCTGGCTTGACACCAGAAGACGGCATCGTCATCGGTATATGATAAGCAGCGCACTTGATATCCAACGGTGACCCAAAACAGCAACATTTTTTAGTTTGACTTGACCTGGAAGGTCAATGACTGACCTGAGAAGGTAAAACTGGGTATCATTGGATTCGTCTCTTCCCAAAGAATCTTTTTGGTCTTTACCGCAAAGCTCTATCTCCAACAGGAACGAAATGGCGCGGGGGTGGCAACCCCCCCCCCCCCCCCATGTGCGTTCTAGGATGGGAAAATGGCATGTGCGGGCGAGGGTTAAGCAAGTCAACGACGATTGACTGAAAGGCTAGCCGTGGTTCGATTTAGCAGCTATTTACTAATGGGTGAGTTCCGTGCACCATAAATCCATATTTGTTTGGATGAGCCATGTCATTGGATGTCAGATATCATGGCGGCGCATACATGCACATGCAATATGGCTACTTATATCCAGGGCATATTTGCGAAGCAGATGTGTCCGTTACCAGAAACGGGCGTTCTACGGATAAGCAGATGATGAAAATGTGAGTCGCAAATTGACCGGCATATACATCAAACGCCGCCCTCATCTCCAATGCCTAGTGATGTTTGTCAATTGGCGCGTGGGGCGGGAGGGTGTCCGGCCCTGCGGTGTATAAAGTCGCCGGCGCCGTCCGTCCCAGCCACCATCCGCTGACCGGCCGGCACCAGCGTCCTGCTCTCCGACCAGCCTCTCTGGTCACCGGACACAGCCGCACAGCCGGTGCCGCGCCGCAGCTCACCGACCTCCGCCAGCATGTCGCTCTGGACTCTGGTGGCCGCGCTCAGCCTGCTCAGCCTGGCAGAGCCGGGCTCGGCTCAGCAGCCGGTGCTGGGCCGGCCGGCCGAGTCGGCCCGGCTGCCGCTGCCGCCGGCCGCCGCCTCCGCCGCCGCCACCAAGCGCTCGTTCCTGGGCCTGCGGTGCCGCGGCGTGTACGACAAGGGCACGTTCTACGAGCTGGAGACCGTGTGCCGCGACTGTCTGACGCTCTACCAGGAGCCGGAGCTGTACGGCCTGTGTCGCTCGCAGTGCTTCACCACACAGTACTTTGTCGGCTGCCTGGAAGCGCTGCAGCAGGGCAGCGAGGCCGAGCGGCTGGACGCCGCCATTCGCCGGCTCAGCGGCAGGAAGTAGGTGACGAGAGGAAAGGCGACACGTCACCGGATCGGCGAGGACGGACGAACAGAGAGACAGCCGGATGGCAGGACAGACGTCAGAGGGAAGGACGGCGGCACCGCCCTCTGCCATGGATCGGCGCGGAGCGCGAGGTGCCCAACGGACGGCGGACCCCCGTACGTTTCGCACGCTTTGGCAGACTGAGTCCCGAACGGTGCCGAAGAGGCGAAACGACAACACACTCGGCACCGGTCGGAGCTGCGACGGGCTGGACGCCGCAGCTCCAGCCAGTCAGCGCTGAAAAAGGAACCTCCGAGGCTGGATCCTGTAATGATGAAGTGTCGTTTGTCTAGTCATCGCTAGGGAAAGGTGGGATACTTGGCTCTGCTCTAGTTGCGACTTTTGTGAAAGTTGTGACCTTTATTAGATGGTGGAGAATGCATCCTGTGATCAATATATAACAATGCATTGCAGATTCTCTTTACATCTATGCCTATACCTTCTGGCTGCAAACGAACATTTTATCTACGAAAATATTTTAGAATGTATTGCTACCTTACCCGGCTGGTTTTCTACGCCCCAGCTGAAACGTTTTTTAGCCTGATATAGGGAACTCACTGAAACTTTCCACCTCATTTAATGATGATCATTCACTGGATACCCACCGGATCTGATCAACATTATTGTAAGGTTATAGACATTCTCTCAGCCGTACTTATTTGCCAAGTTTTTGAACATTTGTTTTATCAACATCTGCAGTCAGTCTGTCAGATTATTGATACAATGCATGATAGAGAAATTTTCCCAGGACCAATGCAACTCATCTCTTCCAGCCTTCCAGACAATCTGTTGCAACCAACTCTCAGATCGTGCTATGACAAACTGTCAGACTGTGTTATTAACAATTGCACGGACCGTCCCATGAACAACTGCTGAACCGCATTGTAACCGACCATCAGATCCCTTGCTGTCATCGCCTGTCATAAATTATGCCGTGTCTCCTTCTGACGTCCATCTAAGGACACTTCGGCTGCATTCCGTCACTGAAAAAAGCGAAACGCCTCGCGCATATCTACTTAGCGCATACCTCGGTGGGCTCCCTAAGTGGCATAGTTATGCTTGCCAGGAGTGGATAGACTGGTCCGATTTTATTCGATCTATCTAACCGGGCTCTTGAATATAATACCGAGTGCTGAACACCAAAACTGGTGGCGCGTGATGGAAGTCGATACAAATTCCAACGCTGTTCCTGGATCTTCATGGAAGAAAAGGGAGACCGGCCGTCTATAACTGAAATGGTACGGCAGTCGGCAGCGTGGTATGTAGAAAAGTAGGCAATAGGCGTATCATATAATCAGCTCGTCCAGTCTAACTATGATGCTGAAGTTACGCCATGGCAATGAATGAGCCGCTTTGAACATCAACAAACAGGGAGTGTCTGAAATGAGTCCTGGAGCAATTTTCATATTCAGTTAGAGGCGGCCGGGCTCCGCCTCTCCCGGGTACCCAATGATATAAAGTGTCGTAGGTACTGGCTTACAGGACGACTAGAAATAAGCAGTGTTTGAAAGCTGCCAGCTGGTCAAAGTTGGTTACAAAACATTCTTAAGTTTATTTGTTGGCCAAGCCAAAGTTGGCTACCAGAAGTCAACAACGTCAAGTTTACGGCTTTTGATTGTGTCGAAATAGTATGCATTGCCCATAGCTAATGGAGTTGCAACACCGTACAGAAAGATATTTTGCCTCATTTGCAGTCTTTTTTCTATCGCTAATTGGTCGCTAATTGGTAATTGGTTTGAGTTCATTTCAGCTGTTTGACGTCTGAAATGTAACAATAATGTTTTGTTGTTCCAAAGTGAAGGCATAAAATTATTATAAATCCGTGGTCATTCGAATTTCAATCACCTTCAAGTTTTGCATGAGCAGATTCTTTGGACTGTTATTGGTGAATCAACTGTCTTTCATTTCTGAAAACCCAAGTCATCCCACAACGCCGACTTTTTATGAGACACTTTATTTTTCAGACCGTTGAAATAACTACCAATTCACAGTACCTCAATTGTAACGCATACATGCTCGTTACCGGCCCTGGTCGTCACATGAATTACTTTGCCTGTCGCTCACTCCACTTTTTATTCATTCCAACCGCTAGCTTGAGCTGCGGCGTCCAGCCCGTCGCAGCTCCGACCGGTGCCGAGTGTGTTGTCGTTCTGCCAAAGCGTGCGAAACGTACGGGGGTCCGCAGTCCGTTGGGCACCTCGCGCTCCGCGCCGATCCATGGCAGAGGGCGGTGCCGCCGTCCATCCCTCTGACGCCTGTCCTGCCATCCGGCTGTCTCTCTGTTCGTCCGTCCTCGCCGATCCGGTGACGTTTCGCCTTTCCTCTCGTCACCTACTTCCTGCCGCTGAGCCGGCGAATGGCGGCGTCCAGCCGCTCGGCCTCGCTGCCCTGCTGCAGCGCTTCCAGGCAGCCGACAAAGTACTGTGTGGTGAAGCACTGCGAGCGACACAGGCCGTACAGCTCCGGCTCCTGGTAGAGCGTCAGACAGTCGCGGCACACGGTCTCCAGCTCGTAGAACGTGCCCTTGTCGTACACGCCGCGGCACCGCAGGCCCAGGAACGAGCGCTTGGTGGCGGCGGCGGAGGCGGCGGCCGGCGGCAGCGGCAGCCGGGCCGACTCGGCCGGCCGGCCCAGCACCGGCTGCTGAGCCGAGCCCGGCTCTGCCAGGCTGAGCAGGCTGAGCGCGGCCACCAGAGTCCAGAGCGACATGCTGGCGGAGGTTGGCGAGCTGCGGCGCGGCACCGGCTGTGCGGCTGTGTCCGGTGACCAGAGAGGCTGGTCGGAGAGCAGGACGCTGGTGCCGGCCGGTCAGCGGATGGTGGCTGGGACGGCCGCCGCCGGCGACTTTATACACTGCAGGGCCGGACACCCTCCCGCCCCACGCGCCAATTGACAAACATCACTAGGCATTGGCGGTTAGCCCGTCTTCTGATTTCAGGTGCTGAATCTTTCATCTGCATTTCAAATCGCCTGGTTTTCATGAATATCATGTTGCCGTTTACCATCACGTTGGTATTTTCATGTTTCCGGCTGTGTCGTCATTCCGTGGCGACGCACCGTCAGCTGGTATGCTTACGGGGGTAGACACGCTACTGTCTGTGACACAGGGGATGTGTCGCTCCGCGCTCGGCTGAGAGTGATCCGCCGCCAGCCTTGATGGGCAGATTGTTTTACGGCCGTCTTGGCCGTCAAAAGTAACCTTCCGACTTGACTGGAGTCACGGACCGGTGGTTGCCGCGCAGAATGCGAAACAGGTGGATAGCCAGATGACATGAAGGGACGAAAATGAATAACTGACGAACGGACAGACTGGCAGGTGAACATAAAAAATCGTCGGGGAGGGATGGACAGACAGACAGACAGACAGACAGACAGACAGACAGACAGACAGACAGACAGACAGACAGACAGACAGACAGACAGACAGACAGACAGACAGACAGACAGACAGACAGACAGACAGACAGACAGACAGACAGACAGACAGACAGACAGACAGACAGACAGACAGACAGACAGACAGACAGACAGACAGACAGACAGACAGACAGACAGACAGACAGACAGACAGACAGACAGACAGACAGACAGACAGACAGACAGACAGACAGACAGACAGACAGACAGACAGACAGACGACAGTCAAGCAGATATTTTTTTACATTGAAAAAGGCCGACAAACGGACAGGCTGACGAGGGAGAGCACTTACGCAAATATTAACTTTTTCGATTTTTATACTTATAAGGGTGGTAGTGCTCTCAGAACGGAACACGAAAAGCAGGCAGGCTGTTACGAATGGTCAAGAAGACAAGCACCCAGCCGCGCGTGAAGGCAGTTAGACAGCGAGACTGGCATGCAGCAAGCTGCGTAATACAGGGATATGTGGGGGGGGGGGGGGAGACGCAAGACAACGGACATAATTGAAGGACAGAGCAGACAAGCAGAGGAGTTCATGAAGCAACAAAGGCGTGCTCGTTATCAAAGCCTTCTCTCCTCCCTCCTCCCCCCCCCCCCCACAAACACACCCGAACGGACAGACGGACGGACGGATGAATGGATAGCCTGACTGAGGCTCACTCTCGCCACAGGAAGTTCTCTAATTGGCGTTTGTCTCGGTGACCCTGATAGTGACCTTTATTAGTGGCCGTCCTCGCCGTCTCGTCACGCATGGTGTGACCTGTCCCTGCGACCCGTGTCGCTCTCCGCCCGGTAGCTGGAACTCGCTGTGACTGCCCGCGCTGAGTGCTCTTCTCGTCATGGTGGTATCTGAGAGCATTGTCTTGTCTCCATGGTCCTGGGACAATGTGGAGGAGGGTGTAATGGCAGGATTAGCTGCACGCTCCACCGGGAAGGAGAGTCAGATGGATGATGTGAACTGTGGAGAGTTTATTGGCAGGACTAGCCGTATTTACGCTTCACTGGGGAGAGGGGAGTCGGGGGCTGGCCCTCCCATTAGCATCGCATTGACACTGAGCCAGACAGGTTTTGGGCGCTTCCGTGTGGGTTTCCCTTTACAAGGTCACACTAGAGTTTTCTATCAGGTGCCATGTTATAGGCCGCTGCATGGGGTATCCCTCGCTGGTCTTATGACGCCTTGGAATGAGATTCTAAATAAGCTCATCCCGCTGGGATAATAATACCCCGATGGGAGTGTAGGACAGCTCATCTGGCCGCTCACCTCGATTTGGCTGGTTCCCGTTAGAATAACGCTCCACCGGCTATATGGTGACTGCTGGTAGAGTACCTTACTGTCATCCCGAAATAGGGTAGTATGCTGTAATTTGAGGATTGAGGATGTGATGGAGCAGCGTAACCGGTCATCTGCGAACCGGTAAAACTTGCTCCATTGGTGGAACTGGAACTGTGAAAAAACTGAATTTTTAAAACAACGATCGAAAGGTCCCAAGTTCAATTACTGAGCGGAGAATTGAAAAAAAATAGATGTTCGGTGTGTGTTATTATAAAAAAAAAAGATGTATAGTCGACTACAGAATGATGTTCCACTCCTCAGAAGCTATCAGTTGACCGGAGCGCTAAGTTGTGCCGTTTATCACGCAATTAAGCGTGTCGATTATACTCATACTCATACTCATACTCATACTCATATATTTCGGTTACATCCAAGAAATTGGGTTTTCAGTAAACCACGTCATACATTCAGTAGTTCAAAACTCATACCTATACATACAGGACAGATTCTATAGAGGTTAAAACACACCACACATGATAAACTAACTGACCACATTGACCTAGCGCAGCCGGATTAAACATGCCGTTTCTTAACCTTTTTACGGAACGCCGCCAGACCGGTGCAGCTTCGAACAGGCGCAGGCAACTCATTCCATGAACGAGTTGCGCGACAGATGAATGAGCGCCGGGCAAGCTCAGTTCGCACGCGCGGGACATGAAGCTGACCGTCACTGGTTGCCCTAGTGCTGCGGCTCGACACCGCAGTACGGTGGACGATGCGGCTGCGGATCGAATCAGGGGCTTGCGAGTCATGCATCAGTTTAAATATAACATGCAGATCATGCTCACGCAGTAGCTCCTGTACAGCAGGCCATCCCAGTTCCTTGCGGGACGCTGTCACACGGTCGCAACGCCTGAGGTTCGTTACGATTCTGACACAGAAGTTTGTGCATTTCTGCAGTCTCCAGAGCTGTGTGACTGTGCAACCGCCCCATACAGACATGCAGTACGTTATTAGCGGGAAGACTAGCGCTTCAATCAGGAGCTTACGGGTCTCGCGCGGCACGCGGTGTCGAATCCTTGACAGACCGATCAGTACACTATAGCACCGGCGCAAAATGTATGATATGTGTTTGTCCCATGTCATGGCGTCGTCCACGGCGACGCCCAGCACCCTCACCGACTGTACCGGGAAAATTTGAGAGTTTCCAAAATGGATATGGAAGCCAGTTTCGGTTTTCAATCGTTGCGATTTTACCATGATCATCTCAGTTTTAGAGGGGTTGATTTTTAATCTGTTCTGGGTAAACCATTTTAGAGCAGCAGACATGCTGGTTTCCAAACGTATTTTCAGGTCAGAGAGCTTGTTCGGTAAGTCAGAGTGGATGAACTGGGCGTCGTCAGCATACATAACGATTTTCTCAGCAGGACAAAGCTATAATTTGTGAACTCAGCCCGTGTGATGAGGCACAGCCTACCACTCCAGGCAAATAATTGCCTGTGAAGAGTGGAACATCATTCTGTAGTCGACTATACAATATACATACATGCCTATTTCTTTTAGTCTAGCGACTATAGCGACTATTATTTCTGACTTTCTAAGCAATGCATTTTCTCTTGGTAGCGCCCACATAATGGACCGCAGATAGCACGTGCTGTCCCTTTGGTGTCGGTAAAGTCGTTTTTTTAGCGATATGAGACTGCGACGCGACAGCGACACTCCTCCGCGGAGAGCAGCGCTGCCACCAGCCCAGTGCAAGTGGCAGAACAGGGAAACATCAGCTCTCCAGCTGGTTCCTCCCATAGATATACAGACGTTCCTCCGTTGAGAGCAGCGCCGCCACTAGCCCAGCGGCAGAGCAGGGAAACATCAGTTTCCGCAGTGGCCGCCAGGTGATCAGTGGTCGCTGGATCCGCCGCCCGCCAGGCGCCAGAGATTACCGACCACCGGAGTAGGTCTGCACCCGGGTTCCATCAACAGGAACATCTTCGCCGCTATTCACCGTGTTTGGTGATTTTTGTTTCATTAATTTCCATGAAAGGTGTTTTGTTATTTGCAATGAAAGCTATTTTCTTCTAGGGGCTGAGTAGCGGCCCAGGCTATGTAAACCTGGCGGCTAACATAGCGGCGCCGATGAAGTTTATAAATAGTGATATTTTATAGCGGACATGTGGCAGTCTTTTTTCTTGTATTTCTATGACCGTCATATGTGTAATAGTAGTTACACAAGCCCACAGTCGTGATTCATTTATCTGCAATGTTGCAAGAATACGTATGCCATTAGGTACAATGCCTCAATGATACGTTTATACAGGGTCTTTCATAATGAATGTTACTTTTGAACATTTCGTTAGGACCTCTTAATTTATCACTTCCGCGTGAATTTCATATGCGTATTGTTGCAAATTGATTAGGGTTTTGTCCCAAAAAATAAAAATTCCCAACGCCAATTTTCCTTCACGGAAAAGCAGAGTATGTCGACACCACTAAAAGCATTACGGATTACGGTCGACGGACAAGTCTTCATCCATTGGCTCTCCCCTGGGTCAACACTGAACGGGGTGGCTTACCTCAGGCTGCTCAAGGAATGCTTCTGCCTCAGGTCAGGGACAAGGTTCAAAGAGACGGCCTGTGGTTCCAGCAGGATGGTGCCACAGTGCACACCACGGCAGCTGTTGCGCTAGTGGCTGATCGAGAATTTCGAAGAGCGCGTTATCAGCCGCCTCACCGAGCGACCATGGCCACCACGGAGTCCTGACCTCTCCCCGCTGAACTACTGGTTTTGGGGAGTCGCATTGGCAGATCTGAGACAAAACCCTCCTGCAGCCATCCACTGCAAACCACAGTGGAGAGGTTTGCTGGAAGCCTGGACCCAGATGTTGTGAGGCGCGGGGTGCGACACCTTCACCAGAGGGCCGAAACGTGTGCCTTAATTAAGGGCGATACAGTGGAAAATTCCTGAGGAGCATTAAAATGAAAGTTGTGTGTGCAAAAAACGCTAATGTGTTTCTGTTTCATGTGATGGTACATATTACATGAGGAACATATATGTCCTGAGAAATAGCTATTTTAAAAGTAACATTCATTATGAAAGACCCTGTAGGAAGGAAACGATCATGACGCACATAGCCAGTTATCAGAAATAACTATTGGAAGAAAAATGACTATTGTTTTCCGAGAGCAAGTGAAGCCCTCTTATCCGCGATTACCGGACCACCCGCCATTATTCCCAGTAAGAATATGGTTATTGCAGAACTATTCAGTTCGAACATCTGTTATTACATAATGCATATGAAACTTGATTACGATGACTGCTGATGTGCAGATTGCACAATACCGCTTGGGGCCGTTGAATTTCGGGAACATAATTACGGCGCTAAAAGGGATGGCGGAAATGCCAAACGAGGTTTAGGCCAGGTAAGTTAATGCAAATTAGTAGATATCTTTTCAATGCCATTGCCTACTTAATAATAGCTAGACATAACTAGCTCTATAGCACACTACAAGACTCAGCAAGTAAATCAGAAACACTATTCATTCGTACTTTTTATTTGCATGACAGCCCCACCGTCATCCTTCAGCACACTTCCATGCTCGGAACTGGCTGCCAACCCATCCAAGCAACCGTCGAGGACAGCTGTAGCAGGAACATACCTACCCTTCGGGATGTTTCTTGTAGTTTTGATTCTGTCCTCCGGCATACCGGCATGATTTCTGTCACAACTCCGCTGGCTCAGCTATACATACTCGTATAGCGCCCCCATGACGATTTCCTCCCCTTGACCCCAGTGGGTGTGTCCGTGTCTGACGGTCCATATACCCCATGCCGACCGGACGGTCTCGGTGGTCTGTTTACTACTGAGAACGGTATACGTGGCGGAAATCCCGACCCCGCGGACGCCGTGGGTGGCCATCTGTCCCCTCCGCTGCGCCGGGGGCCATCGGAGTCAGGAATGACCCCTGTCTTCTGTCTGCTGGGGTCTGGGATGGGCCCTTATCTATGATAGAAGTAGTCAGTAGTCAACTGCATCAGACGTGATTTTACGGAATTGGTCGGCTACAGGAGTAAGTTGTGCACTGTGCAGCCACCTATACACAAGTGTAGTCCGGTAGTATGATCCATAGAACTCTGTACATACATCAGAGGTCTATGTATAGCCGACTACAGAATGATGTTCCACTTTTCACAGGCAATTATTTGCCTGGAGTGGTAGGCTGTGCCGCATCACACGGGCTGAGTTCACAAATTATAGCTTTGTCCCAATGCTCACAATTGACACGCTTAATTGCGTGATAAACGGCACAACTTAGCGCTCCGGTCAACTGATAGCTTCTGAGGAGTGGAACATCATTCTGTAGTCGACTATACAGAGGTCTATGTATGATCTGAAATGCATGTCTCCAGCTGATGGCGAATTTAGAGATGGCATCCATCTGCCCGTCTACCAACTCGCCCGTCCTCCGTCTGCATATTTTGGCTAATGAATGTCTAGACTTTATACACTGCAAAAATGGTGTGGGCATCATCTGAGGCGGCGGCGGGCCGCGCTCGACCGGACTGTAAATATTTATGGACAGGAGCCACTGTAGACCGGTCTTCTGCGGCGCCCAGTGTATGTACAGTGGGTCTATTTAAGATCTCCAGAGCCACCACGTGGCGCTACGGTCGGGGTAGGGCGAGTCCAAATCCCGAGGGGAGCGAGGTCACCGGTCATTGTGGGGAAGGAGGGAGGGGGGGGGGGGGGGGGTGACGCGCTGCTATCGCGGGGTGGAGCGTGCGTAGCGCCGGGAGCGGGCCGCCCGCCACTGCGCCGCGGCTGAGGGGAGGGGAAGCTGGTTGCGGGTGCGCTCCCTCAGGTATGGTGGTATCTCGGGTGGTGTTTCACCAGTGATATCTGCTGACGTCACACTTGTGGTAGTGTTGGAGCAATGGGCTTGTTCACGTCTCCGTGGAAACCCAATTTGACACGTAGTAATAGCAGCGTCCTGCGATCGCCGGTGAAACATCACCCTGTTCATGTGAAGCCAGCAAGAATGCGACTGAAGGGAATAGCTATCTCAAACAAACGGGCAAGCGAAATGCAACGCCTCAAACTTGCAGCAAAAATGTTAACCAATCATAATTGAAATCGTGGACCTATACTTTCAGTCGATCCTTGCATGATGTGTAAGGCTTTTCTAAATTTATATTCAGTTACATAATTTCTTTCATTATTTGACACGCTCAGCCATGATGGGTTTTTATCGGATCGAAAAGAATCACGAGTTGAAATGGGTCCAGAGAAACGACCAAAAATAAAAAATGAAAATTCATGAAACTCAGCAAAACATTAAAATAAATATATAGGTGCGACAATTTTGACTTTGTTAAGAGGATATCGGGAAAGATAAATCACCGTGCTTGTCAGTTGTCAGTATTGCAGTAAAAGGAAAGGTTTTGGCTAGTATCTAGATAAAACCAGAGCCGAGTGGGGCTCGAACCCACGATATCGCACTCGGCACACAGATCACCCAGCCCCAACGCTACGAACACCTGTCGCCCTGCGTCCCTGCGCAGCTTGCTGGATAGTGTTTCCGCCAAAATTGTTCGTTGAATGTCTGACGTCTGTGAATGTCACGAGGCCAAGCCCAAAGGTAAATGAGGGAGCCGAACCAGGTGCTGAAAATGAGGCCGCCGCTTTCTGGTCCCGGCGTTTTATTCTCCGGGTGGGTTAGCCCCGTTGAGCGCTTAGCCTTTCGGGACCCTCTCAGAGCCGCGGTTGTTTTCGCCGCTCAGCCCATTCGAGATGCAAAGTTGATAGTCACACGAACTTTATTTGAGGCCCCCGAATATACGACTTCGAAACTGATCGATTCTACAGAACCTTTTTCTTTCATCTAATGCATACATTTAACAGTGACTCCAGACTAGGCTGGTTTGGCTGGCCCTAAATAAGCTTCGTGTGACTATTAACTTTGCATCTCGACTGGGGCGCGCGGCGAAAACAACCGCGACCCTGAGTGGGTCTCGAAAGGCTAAACGCTGGACGGGATTAGCCCGCCCGGAGAATAAAACGCCGGGACCAGAAAGCGGCCTCATTTCCAGCAACCGTTAGGCCGGGTTGAACCAGGCTGGACCGGGGTCTTACACCCAATCATGATCATTGATCATACAAAACAGAAGTTAGTTTCGGGTCATATATTCTTATGATTTTTTTATTGTTTAACTTATTTTGGCTTAGTTTTTTTAACTCGAAACCTTATACACAAAAATGCGATACTCGTCCACTTTTTCTCATCCCCTTTTAGCGACTAAATTTGACCTTAGTCCGATGTGACCCGTCATACAAAAAAAAAAAAAAAAATCGCCGGCCATGACAGTTATTTGTCAATAGGCGCTCTACGCAAGAAACACCAGCCAGTCCAAAACTGGTGAAGGATATTTCTTGTGCTGGAACTATCTTCAATGAAAATTTCAGGCTATATTTAGTTAATCCCTTGAGCTACTCGGCGCTCGGAGCATTCGCTAGTATTCCACTGCCAGCTGCATTACCAACATCGCAATCATTACCAACAATAATACCTACCATAGCATCATGCATTACCAGCATCACATATGCAGTACTTTGAGTGCGTCATATAGGTGACAATAGATAAACCGACCACGGCAAACCCATGCCTTTATCCTTTTCTTCCAAGCAGCCAGGCTACGGGCCGCCAGGCCCGCCACCGCGATATGGAACAGCGAGCCGGCTGGAATGCGTCATTTGCCTGCGGCAGCGCCCAGCTGCGCCGGGGCTGTTTGACAGGTCACCCGCACCGTGACCTCGCCCCTCCCCACCTCCCCGCCCGGCCCAGCTCGGTACTGACCTCCCCTTGAATTTGACATGGACTCGACTAAGGCTCAACGCCATCTAGTTACGTCTGGAGATCCTAACTAGATCCACTGTACATACGAACCGCTTTGAGCGTCTGCAGTGTGCGGTTCGCCGGCCGCGCCGCGGGCTGGTATTGGAGCTGTGCTCTCGGAATGAGTTATGTCTGGCCCGCAGCGGCCGGCTGTCTGCGTTCAGTCGCCTCTTTGAGCGGTGCATCCGGTGCTGCGGGCGACGGCCCTGGGTTCGAAAAGCCAGTCATCGTACTGTTGGCGATGACTGGCGATACGCGATCCACTCTGGTGGAAACACACCGCGCCGTGGCGCGGCGTTCTGTGTTGCCCGGCCCCGTCTGTTGTATCGGACACAGAGCGGCCGGGTGGTGTCGCCTGAAGGGTGCGTCCAAGGCCTGTTCTAGCCCCTCAACCTGACCCGTCCATCTTACCATCTACAAGACGTCGTACTAACATCCCGGACTGTCAACACTCAACAGTCTGGGATGCGCTGGCGCTTGGTTCGCCCATTATACCGGCCACTACAAGAAACACAACAGTGCCCCTCGGTATTGGGCAACCGAGTGTGTCGATCTGCTGTCTCGATGTAGAAAGCCCAGGCAGTGAAGAATGGGTACGTTATGCTGAAGCACCCGTCACTGTTTGTCAATGAACGGATATAAGATATAAATAAGGGCCTAGGCCTCATGTGTCGCAACGTTACATTCTTTCTTGCATTCGATTACGTGGTTATGATGCGGTGAGTGCTTCCGTGTCGATACGGCCTGAGCTTCCGCCAGGCTTTAGTTTGGGTATTGGGAAGTACGGTAACTTCTTTAAAGTTTGCAAGCAGCTGTCTTGAACCCAAGCTCGCTGCTGACAGCGAGTTGCACGGGTTAAACCATCGCATTGCTATCAAAAACGTTGCACTTAATTCGATGACTGAAATGACATCACGATCCGTGGCGGTGGGGCCGGCCAGTTTTCCGAGAGCGGGCGGCTTTTCCAGGACTTGGAAAGCCCCTGTCCTGTGGAAGCATTTTCTTACAGCTATAGCGCCACTTCACCGTACTGAATCACTTTAATACCACTAACTATAGGTACTGTATTTATGTATAGACATCTGGCCCATATGTTTGGACGTGGACAGAGTGAATGCTCGCATATCCTATTCCCAGACATATTTCAATGTAAATAAACAGGGCTGTGGTATTCGTGAGGGAGCGCAGTTTGATTGGAATCTCATCGGCAATTCATAAGCCAATACAGCATTTGGCACAGTTTATACCTCAATAGTGAACCCTATCAACAGATTATGTTGTCATTTTATCAGAAATATTCCTAACTTGTGGATGTGTCCATTTATTATGATCAACACTCTGAATGCAGTCATGACACAAACAACGAAACAGTGGATTTCTGCAACTGCACACAACCACACTGAGCATGAACGTTTGTCTCGCGGTCAAATCTCGCTCTGCGAACCTCATCGCGCGGCGCTGGCGCTACCGCCTTCTTCCAGGGTTTCACCGAACTCAGTGTACTGCTTCTCACTGCAGTCCCTTTGAACTGAAGCGCCCGCCCGCCCAGTCAGCCACTCAGTCGCTCGGCTGTCGACTTCAGTCTTTGAGCCTGTCTTCACACTCGTCTCCGCGGGCCCCCGAGCGCGGATTCCCTATCAAACTGTGAATGGTATCCTGAAGAATCGCGGCGCAAGGTCAGTGCTGAGGAGAACGCGACAGACGGACGCAGCGAGGTCATGGATCTCCCCAGGATCCACCTGCGTGCCCCTCTAATTCATGGAGCGCCGTAATCCTGCCTTCTGAGACCGTTCCTCAGAGTCCGGTACGGTAGGCATCTCTATCCCAGGGACGGCGGCCGCTCGTCAGTACTACCCCCGCTGTACGCGTCGGCGAATGTTGAAGCGATTGTTGCTCTCGATGGGTGTCAGACACTCTGGCCTGCCGGTGTCGAGTCGGCACTGCAGTGCGGCGGGACACGAGTCGCAGACGGGTCTGCAGAGACGCTGGCAGCCGCGCAGACAGCAGCGCTGGCCGGCCGGGCAGCTGTGGTCGCTGGAGCACATGTCCACCGAGCCGTTATCGAAGCAGATCTTGGACTGGGTCTGACGGTCATTGACCGGACACAGACCGGGACGGTCTGGCAGACCCTGCGCGCCATCGACCGATGACTGGGATGATGACGCCGACGCCGACGCTGACGATGATGACGCTCCGGCAGCCGCGGACGCCGCTCCGTTCGGCAGCTGGTCGGCGGATGGTGGTGGTGGAGGGAACGGCCTGGCCGGCCGAAGAGGCGGGGACGGCGCCGGCGGCGGCAGCGGGCCGGCCTGCCCCGGGTGTTCGGCGGCCACGCACTGCGCTACCTTGGGGCACGGCGAGCCGATACACTGGACGGCCACCAGGCGACACTCGGAGCCCGGCGCACAGCCCGGCTGACAGGTGGGCAGGCACGAGCGGCCGCAGCCGCGCTCGCAGCAGCGCCGCTGCGGGCCGCACTCGCCATCGACGGCGCACTGGTGCAGGCTGGCCGTGCCGCAGAACGCTGGGCTGGCCAGCTGACGCAGGTCATCCAGCGGGCACTCTCCTCCCGGTGGGGAAGGTCCCGCAGCGGCTGCCGCAGCGCCGGCCACCGAGGCAGCGGCAGCTGCGACCGCCGCTCGGGGCACACAACGCGCCACGGTCGGGCACGGCGACTCGAGGCAGCGCGTCGGCATGAAGCGGCACTCCTCGTCTTCACTGCAGCTGACCACACACTGAGGGCGGCGCGGCCCGGAGGAGAACCGATTGGCTAGCTCGACCTCCGGCGGCGACCCGTCGGGGACGCAGGTGGGCTCCGGCGGACAGTCGGCGGTCTCACAGTCCGCTGGCGGCTGCATGCGGCACTCGTGGCCGCTGCCGCACCACATCTCGGTACAGTCGGTGAGGCACACGGGCAGGAAGAGGCACTCGTTGTACTGGCGGCACACCTGTGTGGGCACGCAGACGGCTGGCGCCGGACAGTCGCCGCAGAACGACGGCGGCGGCGGCTGGTGACGCGCCGTCAGTGCAGCGCCGCGCGTCACACACCAGCTCTCGACGCACGGCGGCCGCGCGTCAGACGGTGACCGCGGCGCGCACGGACGCACCTTGGTGAGACACAGCTCGTCGGGCAGACAGCGGCCGCCGCACGCGTCCGGCCGCGGCACGCACCGCTCACGCGCGTCGCAGGGTGGCTGGTTGCACGGCTCGCGGTCGCACTCGTACCCGTCCCGGCAGGGCAGAGTGCAGTTGGCGGCACGGCACTCGCTGATCCGCGGGCACGGCCGTCGCCGACAGGAGACCTCATGTGAGACGCACTCCTCTCCCGTCGGACACGTGTGGTGCTCGCACGGGTCACTAGCATCTGCGGGGCACGAACACACGGGTCACTGTGCTGTATTAGAGACACGGGTCACTGGCATTTGCCAGGACATGGGCACACGGTTCACTGGATGGTAGTGGAAGCAAGGATCACTGGCTTTTGTGGGACACGGTGTGGTATTGGTGGGTTTCAACAATGAGGCATTTCGTAATGAAGACACGATCTGGCCCATGGCCTGGAGACACGGAACTCAACAAATGCCTGTGGCGCGGCCACAGAGATTCAGAGAGTTGTGTCTGTGCTGAAGACACGGGGCCTGTGTCTATTGGAGACACGGTTTTGACTGTTATAAAACGCCGAGCTAGCATAACACAGCTACAAATGTTTACCTAGTCCGCTGGCTGGTATTTCGTCACGTTATCTGACCGACGTGAGCAGATATCCGACCTACCCCACTGGTCAAAACAGTCACCTTTGACGCTAAGAGGTTGGACATTAGGTGTGTCATAGGTGTGTGTAGGTATGTGACGCATCTGTGCGGCGAAAGTTAAACAGTGGAAGCATGTAAAGTAAATCGTTTAGGAGAAGGCACATCGCTGGTTAGATTGCTGGGATAGGGGCTGAGTCCATAGACCGGTGACCCCGCCCTCGTTTTCCGGCCGACCCCCATGAGATACCCGATCTACGACACGGGACATGCGGGACCGTCCCCTATTCACATCATTGATGTTTCGCTGCAGCATAACATGGATTTTCGACCCCAGCAGAGGAGAGCAGGGACGGTAATGGATGACACGGTGTGAACTAATGCAGGGCAGCACATGCAACTGTAGACACAACGGTCAACGGACGTAAACAGAGTTAACAAAAAAGCCTTCCCCATCCAGCCTACTGGGCGGATCAGGAAATCCCCTCAGTGGCTCTCCTGTCAAATACACGAGATCATGACTTCATCTCATATGGTCTCATCTCCCGTCTCTCAAATGTCAGACAAAGATTTGCTATTCTCGATATGGTCCTGTCGAGCCGGAGATAGACTCGGCACCACTCCTGTCCACTCCTCATTTGGTCTGGCCGCTGCTGCTCGTCTGTCGGATCTCAGTGTTGAGGACGCGCTTCTGTCACCGCTCAGTGCTAGCTGGATTGAACCGGTATATCGCTGGAGAGCAGCACGATCGGCACTATCGCCGATTGCCGTGAGAGCAGCCGCTCCTCTGTTCATTTGACCAGCTGCTCGTGCTGGTACAGCTGTTAGTGACAGCACCGCAGCGCAGATGTGACAGCTGGTGGTGACATTATGCATTGCAGTTGTTACAGCTGGTAGTAACGCCACTGCAAGTATGCCTCACCGGATAGGGATGTCCCATGTCCACTCAGCACCAGTGGCCATAAATCCCGGTCTTTCTATGAACCTGAATCCCGGTCCTTCAATGGCCCTGAATCCCGGTCTTTCAATGACCCTGGATTCCTACCGGCGGAACTCCCTACCGCCGAGTCCTATGCTAATCCCTCGCTAATCCGTGCCCGCTCACAGGCCGGAGAAAGCCACCGGGACGGCCCACGGACGATTCTACAGACACTGTGCGCGAGGGACAGCGTCATAGTTGTGCCGTGACGTCCAGCAGCTACCGCGGAACTCTCTGATTCAGTCAGCGACTTATGACGTCACTGATGGGATTGGGATCTGCCTCGGATGACGTCATTAAGCGTCCAGAGCAGGTTAACGTTATGTCCGTGCGCTGGCTGTAATCACGGCCGTTATAAGCGGCGCACGGAGGCTCGGCCAAACTTCCCCACCTGTGGTCGAGGGAAGTCCGTCAGAGCTGCCGACCGCGCGGCCCTGGTATTACCTATGATCAGCAGCCGGTACGGCCTGTCGGCGACTAGCCTCGCGGCCGAGACAGGGACGAGCTCGACTGTCACGGCTTGTCGTACTGGCTGGGTTTATGTCAGCCTGTACGGCGCCGCAGAAAATGTATAAGCGATTGGTACTGCTGGCCGGAAACGGATCGGTACCTATGTAGAAAATGTGAGGGAGCCCGCTTGAAGTCTATTATTTATCTGTCCATTCAAAAACCTGACTGGTTGCGTAATTCTACGCCGCTTTTGCGTTTGTTTTTACGGGCGATGATCCTTCTTTGCTGTCCTTACGAAACCCGTCCGACTTTCAGCGGTCCAGTGTTGCAATGTTTTGTTTATGTTTTATGTTTTGCTCGCCTGGAAAGCGACCTAGTGAGTTCCTATGCATAGGGACCGGAACTATGGTGCCAAGAACTGCATAATTGAGTCTGGACCGTGGCGTCTCACCGTTTGCGGTGCATATCCTCTGTCCGTATTGAGGTTCTACCGACAGCGGTTCGTCCTATCTGCTGGGAGGTTCTTGCCGCTCGGGACCGTTGGGTGTTTGTGATGAGGATCGATGGGTGTTTTACCGGTGGGGACCGGTTAGGTGATATCCCGCTGGGGGAGGGGGATCGGTCGTATGATCCGTCGCTTGGGCTGTCGCTCGCTCGGGTTGTCTAATCGGTTGACTGACCGGGACCGGGGTGATCAGTTTTCCTGACCGGTCGGTTGGTCCGCTCGATTGATCCTCCGCTTATAGAGACCGCTCGGGACCGGGTGGTCGGTTTGCCGTCCTACCGGTTCGGACCAAGGTGAAGGACACGCGCAGCACGAGGGGCCCCGTACCGTGCATTGTTCAGTCGGCCGGGGAGGGGACGGGGACCCGCTCGGGGCTCCGCAAGGCTACATAGTGTATCTGGATAGAGACGGACTTTGAAGAGTTATCGGAGGATTGTCAGAACGGGTGGATTTAAATGGGCTTCTGTGCTGGTAGATTTTTGTCGATGTTTTGACGCTCTAACTTCAGATTCATCGGTGTGTTCAAGTTAATAAAAGCGTTCGAAATTCCTAATTCCGGACGCAGAGTAGCGTTCAAATTATCTATAGGCGGATGTGGGGAAGTTGTATGATGCAGCTCACCGTGAATCCCGTCATACTCGAGTGAATCATTTTCTCACGTTTTCTGTTGTGCCGCAACACGTGTCTAGGTAAACGGCGGTTACAACCCACAAACACCGCTGACCAGTGGGCCGTATAGCAGGAAAACGAGAAACAAGTGACGATATCGGTTACCGTTGGTTTTGCCCGCCTGTTCTTTCTCAGTGCTGCTCATCTGCAAGTAGTCTGCCCAGATGATATGGTGCCGAATGAGTGATAATAGGTTTGTGATCCTACCGGGATGCAGATAATTGTTCAAGTTCAAGTCCTCCATGGCTCCAAGCGTCCCAGCTCAGAGGTCTGAACTCGGGTTCATCGAACCAAGGTGGGGTTGAGAGCGATGAACGTAACCAAGCTTGGAAGCGGTTTACTAAAGTCGATAGACTTGTGAGGAGCTTACCGGAGAATTGATTATGCCCAGACTTCGATCCTATTTAGCGACAATGTTGCATCTCTAGTGCGGGTGTCTGGAACAGGCTGGTTGAATAGTGGTTGTTGCCAAACAGAATTCATAAAACCACTGAAGCCCAGCACGGAGAAAGAAGAACGGTTGCGCGGGGCTGCCTCATGCTAACCCGGTTTACATAGGGTTTGTTGCAAGCTTATATCTCCGTCCGTGATGTTGCAAAAGATGCGAATGGTGCTTAACAATTTACAAAATGATCCCCTCTAAATATTTGAAGACCACTGCATCGAAATTATCGCCAAATTAACAAGCTAGAGCCTCGTCAAAAATGCTATGTAAACCGGGTTACTGTGGTGGTGAGGGGGGGGGGGTCGTTCTCACCTGAGCCCTCCAATGTAGCGGCGCCGACCGTGGCGGCCAGCAGCAGCAGCGTCGCCACCCACACACCCACCGTGGCCCCCATCCTGGCCGACCGGACGAACACTACTGCCTCCTCCGCTGCCGGCCGGCCGCCGCGCGGGCCAGCCAAGGCCACTGCAGCCGGCACACTGCCCGGTGACGTCATCGGTGACCAACGGGGACGTCATCAGAGGTGGTCACAGGCCGTGGTGTAGGTCTGTGTACTAGGTACGTCGGGGAATGTCCCCCTGACTTCCGGTGCTGCCCCCTGCCGGCCGACACCCCTGACCTGACCCCGGCCGGGGGTGAGGGGAAGGAGGTGTGTGACGTCACCGCACGGACTGGAAATTCCAGTCGGTGTACGGACGATGACGCCGGCGCCGGCGGCGGCGGCTCCTCGGTCCGCCGGTGCCGAGCGCCTCGACAGCCGACGTCACGGCCTCATATCCGCACAAATACAATAACACAGGCGCGGCAACGCATACGAACCGAAACAAACACACAGGCACAGACACCGGGGTTTTCCCAGTCCCGCCCGGGCAGGATATGCGCAGAGGCAGCAGAGTGAAACCATACGCCACCGCCCAAACTTAATGATGATTAACTTCCGGTAGTTTCAGCTTGATTTCCCTTTTTGCGTTGAGCGTTAGCACCAGTTCAACGAAAAGGTGAAATGATCTTGCCTGTTTCGTGAGGAGCGCCGTCGCGTCTGGTGGTGCTGTGACGTTTGATGATGTGACGCGTGATGATGTGATGTTCGGTCGCGCTATTACGTTTGGTAACGTGAAACGTCTGGTGACGGCTATGTGACGTATGATGTCACTGACGTGACGTTGACCTTGACGTGTTTGCAGGCGGCTCGGAGGGCGGACCGTCGGGCCTCGGTCAGAAGGGCAGCATCAGGCAGCACCATCTGCTTGTACAGCTGCTGCGACTGAGGCAGATCTGCTGCCACCCGGCGCTGGCCAAAACGGTACGGGTCGGTCGGGGATATTGCTCAGTTCAGCTCAGATGCTGTAGTTCGACACGCATGATGGCGTACAAGGCATAGCTCTAAAATCCTGACTATCCTGACTGACAGCTAAATCCTGACTGCTACCTATTTTCGGTTTTCCGTGTCATTATATCGTTCTCATCGCCTGACATTCGAAAACTACATTCGTTTGTACGCAATATGTGTCATGCCCCCTTTGTTACGGTCATGGCTCAGCCACATCGTTACTTTAGCAGCCGTCGCCTCATTTTTCCCTTCTTCGCTGTCCGCAACCCTCTTGGCTCTTCTTCGGAACCCCTTCTCCGTTCCGCTTGGCACTCATTTCCGTTGCAGCCTCGTCCTACTGATCCCCCACCCGATCCCCCACCCCTCCCCTGATCAGCGAGCCGTGATACCGCATCACGGGACTGCCGTGCCGTGCCTCGGCCCATCCGGCCGATACCCATCAGCCAATAGCGCCCCCCGCCCTAACGAGACAGCCATAGTGGGAGAACGCGGCTATCTGCTGTGTAGGTCACGAACACCAACTGAGCGGAGCGAGGGTCTGGTCCCTCCATCTCCGAGAATTGTTTTCGAAACAGTGTGGTCTTCTGTGGCTCTCTGTCCAGAACTTTTTGCAGCTCACTGTAACTCTCGTTTTGTTTCTGCTCGGTTCTGCTCTGCTTCAGTTTCTCTCTGTTTGAAACTCTGCAGTCTTGCAGTCTTTTGAGTTTTGAGGCTGGTGATGGTCCTCTCTTGAATAAGGAACCCTCCCACCTGAGGTCAGAACTCCCCAAGTCGGCCTTTGTACTTACCCTTTTCCCCCACCTACCGGACCAGTGACGTCACGACGCCGACAGGTGCTGACGTCATCGGACCGCGAGTCGGCCGGCGTGGATGTGGAAGACGAGGCTGCTGAACTAGAGGAGAGGCTCCTTGGCTTGAGTCTGTCCGAGGCGCCGGCCAAGGAGGCGGCTGAAGAGAAGAGCGTACTCACCGCCGACAACCCCGTCTTCGGCCGGGACTGGCGCAGCGCCAAGGTGGGGATGACGATGATGATGACGATGATGATGATGATTATAATGATGATGATGATGACGGCGTTGATATGGTTGATTGTGATGCTTATGATGGTGATGATGATGATGATGATATTACGCTGACGATGATAACGTTGCTGATGATGATGACCCTGCCGTTGACGCTGCCGTCCCTCTCCGACAGCTGCGCCGGCTGATGGAGGAGGTGCGCGCCATCGTGGACGCCGGAGATGAGAGAGTTGTCGTGGTGTCCCAATGGACCTCGATGCTCGACATCGTGCGGGAGCACCTGTCGGAGGCGCGCGTCGCCTCCTGTACCATCTCCGGCGCGGTCAAGATGTCCGAGAGGCAGCAGCTGATCGAAGCGTTCAATGGAACGTCGCGTCGGGGACCGCGGGTGAGTAGCTGATGGCCAGTGTGTGTGAGTGGGGAATCAGAGGGCCTCCGCAGAATGGTTGACGAAAGGGTTTGGCCTTCTTACTTGAAGGTCAAACAGCTGAACCGTATCCTCATTACTGAGTCGTTCGTTGGAGCAGTGCATGTCTTATGTGGACATGAGTGAATGCTGCGTTCCTACGCAGTGTTTTATGCGTTACCCGGATGCCTGAGCGATATTGCTACGTTTGCCTCCTGTTGTTGTTGTTGCGACACTGTAATGCGTCGTTATCTACATTTGTGTTCATTTGATGTTACCTGGAAGCACGGCTGTTTTGCCGTTGCCGGACGGGCGAATAAGGCAGAGTGGCCCTCAGTGGTCATCCCTGTGACGTGTGGTTCCGTGTTTGTCCGCCAGGTGATGCTGCTGTCGCTGCTGGCCGGCGGCGTGGGCCTGAACCTGGTCGGTGGGAACCATTTGTTCATACTGGACCCGCACTGGAATCCCCAGTTGGAGGAGCAGGCGGGAGACAGAATCTACCGGGTGGGCCAGCGGAGAGACGTGTTCATACACAGGTGCGTGATGGAGGGAAAAGTGTTGGGGACGGTGTTAGGACGCTGTTGTTTATGGGACTGGGTCTGTGAATTTTTGGGGCCCACACTTCCATGGGAATACGTGGAATATGGATATCGAACATATGTGGGCTTGGTGCATGGTCTTTTGGATCGCGCGTTATGGCGTAGAGGTCGGGTGGCTGCCGTTCTCTGTAATTCGGTAGATGGCAGAAAAAGGTTATGCAATATACACTCCGCTGAACAATGAGCAATGAGCGTGGCACTGCGACTGATCAGGTTGGGCCAGGGTGCTCTGGTTTTGGGTTTGAGTGGCTAGTGTTACAGAATTTCGAGCTCCATTAGAAGAGGTAATCTTGAACTCCATCGAAAAAGATAGATAGTTATGTTAAGCGCGGACCGTCGAATCTCGTATTACACCACAATTACTAACCTCAGTTTGATCGTCAAAGCGTTTCCGGGCAACATTTATCAACAGGAAACAGACTTTGTCCAGCCAGAAATGTATGGGCCATCACTTATTTCAGACGTCTTATGAAATTTTCACCTGCCGGCTCGCATAAAGTTTGTGGTAATGAATTATCGTTACCGCAATATGACTGCGAAAGTTCGCTCGTGGCCTAATGACCTGCCAACGTGAATCTTATCTAATGAGGAATCATGTGGTAGTTCGCTGCTGTATCAGTGGGGTCAGAATAACACTGGCGGTGAACGGACCCCGGGATCGGTGGTCAGCTATACGGCGCCGCTGTGACGTCACCATCGCTCTGGTGACGTCACTGACCGACACGGCAGAGATTTAGCGATGATTCAGATTGGAGGGCCGCGGGATGAAATAGCGGGTGAGGTGAGCGAGCCTACGGTAAATTCATCCGCTCGGGTATGGCTTGCAGATATTTTTGTGAATGTCTAGACCACAGTGAATGGTCTCTGTGTCATGTCGAATGGGAAGGAGATGTCCAGAAACTGAGCAGGATACTGTGTTTTCTCTTTTATAAGGTCGTCTCCACTATTACCCGGATCGATTTCCGTCAGACTTCGTGGCCACCAAGAGGGCCTTGTGTTTTATGGAGTCGCCTTGCTTTTCTTTTCCGTTCCGAATTCTTAAGTCCCCTGTAAACCTTAGACAGTTTTATCCAGTCGACATCATCGTTTATTATATTTTAGTCCACTTTACGCCAATCAAGTAGGCAGAACGCTGTCCTTTTGTCGGACGCTAGCCACGCTGGTATCTCTCCGAACGGGCTGGGCGACGCTGACGTACCTACGTCACGCTGTCGCGACTCTCCCCGGCGCCTGGTACTTGCGGTCCGGGACTTTCCGCCGCGGATCCCTTATCCCTTCCCAGCGCTGGACGGAACTGCAGCTGTGCGGAACCGGAAGTCCATGATATACAGATCTCGGAACCTCGACCTGCAAGGCAGCCGTCTACAGCGTGAACATTTGCTCTCTGCACACTCTATGTATATCGGGCAACACGAATGACTTACGGCCATTTTCTCTGTCGGAATCAGCATTGGACAATGCGTGTCCCACATACAGTGACTGCTGTCAGCTGTGCTTCTTATTACCTCTCACAATCTGTTCGCGTCAGGATCCGAACCGGGCCCATCCTCTCGGCCGCATCGTCCCAGATATTTGTAGTGGTCACCTACTGAATGACGACTCATTCTGACTAATTCCGACACCGTAGCTAACCGGGCAGGTCATCTTTCTTGTGACGCACTCACTACTCGCACTAATCAAACGTTTTCATATTTCTTTTGTCAATAAGCTACTGTAGGTGTCCACTTTTTCACTTTGCGTTTTTCATGAACCACTGACGCCACGGGGTTGTCCGAAAATTGAGCTAGAATACATTTGTGCTTGGAGAAGTCTTGGTCTGTCGCTCGCTCATACGGCATGTTTTCAGAAAAAGGATAGCGTTTGGTCTGTCTGCCTCCGTGTCCTCTGTCCGGTTGGCACCACTTGGACACCACCGACCGGTCGCTGTCTGTGTCTATGTTCCCTCGGTCTGTTTGACACCACCGACCTGCCGCCGTCTCTATGATCTCTATGATATCTATTATCCTTTTGCCCGTTTGACACCACCGACCTGCCGCTATGGGCAGAAGTCTCTCCGTCTCCGTGCCCTATTCGTACACTACTGACCTGCCACCACCACTGACTTGACCTGACCTGTCTTGGCAGGTTTGTCTGTAAGGACACTCTGGAAGAGCGGATCGTGGAGCTTCAACAAAAGAAGCTGAATATCGCGCACGGCGTGCTCTCGGGAAATAAGCAGGCTGCCTCCAACCGGCTGACAATGAGTGATTTGAAGACGCTCTTCAACCTTCAGTGAGCGGCGCAGCAGGGTCGTCAGTCGGGCCAATGGAGTGGCGGAGAGAGTAATAGGTGAGGATCAGAGCGGGCACGGGTCTCGTGGATAGAACCCGGCACTGTTACAGCTGAGATGTGGTGATGCTGCGGTATGCTGGTAACTTATTAGAGACGAAGTCATGCCCCGTCGTTGTTGTGTCTTGGACGAGGTTGTGGTAGCCAAGATTACTACACCTTTTTGCATTTGAATTCAACCATTCGCCATAACTGTTTGGGGAGCCCTTTCGACAATCGACATTGAGCACAACTATTCCGGCGTTGTGTGTCTCATTTTAGCCACTCAGCAAAACAGATTGAACACTGAAATGAGCGATGTGCAAAACAGTTTGACACTTCGCCAGACTTCGGCATTTAGTGAGCTAGCTTGGCATATGACGAATATTTTCGACCATTGACGATTTGTTTTTCACAATGTTGAACCATTCGCTCAACGCCGAGTTGTAGAGGAGGACCGCCGAATAGTTTTGCTCAATGGTGATTCTTTGTGACCAACTGCCCATTTGTAGCGCCACCTATATGGCGAATGTGTACAAATGTTTTGTCCAATGGTCAAAAGCTAACGCAAAAAGGTGTACTATCAGCTAACTTTGTGGTATCAGCTAGCTTTGTTACCTACCTGATGAGTAATAAGATGCTGCGTTGGGCGTTGTGGCCATTATTCATCGGTGCAGTATAGTTTTCAGTTTTCACTTAGAGAATCGGCGGAACGTGTGTCGTGTAAACGGCGGGCTGCAATGCAGTGGTGTCCTACTTGAATTTTATCGCTAGGCCATTTTTGCAGTCGTAGTAAAACTGTTACTTGCAAATGTGTATCGAAATATAAATATGTAAATTTGTAGAAAATATACGCCAGGTTACGGTAACTGCAGTGTGCCGATGTATGGATGGATGAGGTAGTTGACCATGTATGAGGATGTTCCTCTACCGCCTGTGTTGAGCTGGTGGTGAAACCCCGCGCGGTGAAACCCCGCCACGTCATCGTCACATGGCTCACTGTCTACCCTCTGGTGTGGCTGTGTTCTGTAGACAGTCAGCGGCGCTTGCCTGTTCGGCCCAACCAGCTGCCACTGCTACAAAATCAGTACCATATATTTAGCTTACAATCAGACTTATATCTGTACATGGGTGACCTGAAAACCGACGCTTAAATCACTGCGATGACACTTTGTCTAAGTTTGGTGTTCGGAAGGCGCTTAAACGTCGTCGCCGCAGCAGCGTCCGTTCCATCGCTACAGGAACTGCTGACACCAGTCGTGCAGTGCCTGGAAACAGTCGGCGGCCTGGCCGTCGTTACAGTGCGAGGCACTCTGCAGCCAGGACACGAACGGTTCGCGACTCTGACCGAGCACCAGGAACTGGCCGAGCACCATGTTGGCGCGCGGGTAGCCCTGGGCCACCAGTTTCCCGGCCGCCTTCTCACCAATTCCCGGCAGAGAGCTCGTCGGCTTGTCCCTCATCGGGCCGCTCACAAAGTCAGTGTGCTTACGCGTTCTAGAGGCCATGGCTGCACCCGGGTCGCTGCCAGAAGCTAGTGATTACCGCGGTTGTTGATGCTTGAGACGCTGGAATGCGCGGTCGGTTCGCGCGGTCCGCTGTGCTGAGTGACGCTCTTGGAAGCTTTGACTTGCTTGGAGCAGAGCCACCCAGAATCAGTCTGCGAGAGAGAGAGAGAGAGAGAGAGAGAGAGAGAGAGAGAGAGAGAGAGCCAGAGAGGAAGAGAGAGAGAGAGATGAGAGAGGGAGGAGGAGTTCCCGCATCAATCCACGAAGTTCCCCACATTCATTGAGCAGCTCACCTTACGCTTTCTGTCTTGGGACTCGAAAGATAGTACTAAGTACTGTACCTACTACTGTTGGTCTCAGGATATGAGCCCAGGCGACCTGTAGTTCGGATGCGGTGAATACCCTTACCCTCGCCACTACTCGAGTGGGGGGCGGGGGATGACGGGTGCACTCGGCCCGAGCTGTAGCGAGGGTAAGGGTATTTACCGCATCAAAACGGACCACAGGTCGGCTGAGCTCTTATTTTGAAACCAATGGTACATACATACCTAATTACATACATACGTCGCTTCACGACAGGATTTCCCAGTACCGCCGTCGCCGGACTTTGATAAGAGCTATGCATCTTCGCCCGGCCAGGGGAGAGGGGGGGAGGTTAAACGCCGTTTCGCCGTTTCGTCCCTAATTTAACTAGAACGTTGTGGAAAAACGAGTGTGTGCCATTACGAGACGCAGCGACTGGTAGGTACTCAATTTTAAGGAGTCAGGCCAACAGGTAGCCTCTGAGATGTCAAATACCCCAAAGTATGAGTCCAGTTTTGGTGAATAACGTCGCCAAAAGTGGTCGCAGTGCCGCGATTTCTGCACCATTGTGTTCGCCATGCTAGGGCTCCTCGAATAGTTTACGTTTTGCCCAGGAATGGTCAACTTGGAGTGATGACCTCAGATCAAGGTCAGGTCAAAGCCGCACGGGTCGCGAAGATGGTCGGAGGCCATATTGCAGATCACTGAATTCGGCAGGTCTTCCAGAGTCCATTGGTGATATTTCCGACTCGCTAGCTTAACCCTCGCACGACCAGGCCATTTCTCATAACACGAACGACCAGGGGGGGGGGGGTTGTTACGACCCCCCCCTGGCGTTTCGAAACGGAAGGTCGTAGAGCTTAGCGGAAAAAACCAACGGATTGCTCTCAACGAGATCTCGCGATTGGTGGTATATTTTTTGGTCCTAGGTCAACATTTGACCTACTTATGACCGGTCAAAGGTCAAATTTTCCGAAAAAAATCAAACTTTTTCAACTTTCCGCGGCGATTGCGGCAAAACGGTGGGAGATATCGACTTGAAACCTTCACTATCGTGTTCCTTGATCAATTCTCTATCGTTTGGTATGTATTTCGTTTCCTTAGCTCTAAAAATGGCGCGTTGGGAGCGCCGGAAGTCGGCAAGGTCACAGTCGGCGGCAGAAATTCGAAAAATCAAAATTTAAATTTTTGAAATCTGATTGTATTTTTGGATTTGGGAGGTCCATTTGCTCCCTATAGAAGCTAATATTGCTGCATATTCCCATTGAGGTGACAAGAATTAGCAAAATAGTGGTTCGGGCGCTTTTCAAAAATAGTACCGGACGCTGTTCCTCTTGTGACGTCATAGCTCCGTGACCTGACCTGACCCGGTCAATTTTCTTGCACCACACGATAGCCAATGCTTGCCCCAACATGCATGGGAAGTTTCATCATGATCCATCAAACAATGTGGGTATCACCGGCAGAAAACCTAGGGATTCGGCGCACACGTTTGGTAACTGTCGGCCGGAGGCTGTACCTCTTATGACGTCATAACTCCGTGACCTGACATGACCCGATCAATTTTTTTCGGCAAAAGATGCGCAAAGGTTGCCCCAGAGGGTATTGAAAATTTCAGCCCGCTACGACAAGCCGTTTAGCGTGCACTTCGAAAAAACCTCAGGGGGGGGGGGGGTTGATACAACCCCCCCCCCCCCTAGGCGTTCTAGGGTTAATTTGATTGGAAGTTTTGGACGAAAAACTCCGAAGACCTTAGTAGTGTCATGTATGACGTTATGCAAGGTCATAAAATGCACAATTCAAGATCGGACCATGCAAGGAGTTTATTAACCCGCGCCCTGCTGGGGGGTGTTTGAACACCCCCCCTTGTGGTTTTTCGCGAATATCTCAAAAACGGCGGCGCGGAGCGCCGCCGTTTTTGGTACACCTTATCATACATCAATTCTACACATGTTGTGAAAATTTCAGACCAAGGTCATTCAAGGTCAGGTCACCAGGTCACTTGAAGTGACCTCACCTCATAAAAAGTTTCAATGTCTGCCATAGCTACACCGAGTGACCGATCGCTTTGAAACTTTTAGCGATTGCTAAAAGCAATAGCATGTACAAAATGTATTTCTCAGAATTTTGATAACGATGACCTAAGGACAGGTCAATTTTGCGACCTCCCCATTATAAGTCAATGGGAGAAAATTGAAATGCGCCTCTTTTGGACAAATGACATTATAAACACTCCCAAACACTGAATTACAAGTGGTTTAGACACACTGAACATGAAAATGGTGTCTGTGACCCCTGTTTAGGCCCCTGAGGTCATCTTAGGTCACGAATGGTATCTAACAGTTTTTCGCAAATAACTTTTGATAGAGGCATGCTAGAGCGATGAAAACGCCTTAGATGTGTTCAGCTCGACGATACGGATCGACTGATATGCAACATGATCCTTTCCGGTCAGGTCATGACCTTGACCTGAGGTCAAATTTTCAAGTTGACCTTTCAAGGTCAAGTTATAGTTCATTCGATGCGTCTTGACGAGAGGAACACGATGCCGGTAAAAGTAAGCTCGTGCAAGGCTTGGGTCAAAAGTTATTGCAGAAAAACTGTTTCCGAAAAAATAGGCTGTTTTTGCAGTTTTTGCCCCCTGCAGGCAAAACCGTTGACGTTAGGTCAAATCTGAGAGAATTACTCAGAAAGGGCGTTAATAGGGCTATCGAATGCGCTTTTCCGCGGCGCTGTAGCTCTATTGGTTCCCGAGTTATGCGTTGGCTTCTTGGAAATTGTCGACATTCGACCTGGGAATCGGCAAAATTTTGCCTTCAATGACCTCTGGTGACCTGACCTTTGACCTGGCCAAAAAATTGACCGAAGTGATTTCGTCATTATTTTTGGCGCTCTTTCGAACGCCGCCTTCCGCGTATCGCTACGTGGCCCAGGAGCCGAGTTAGAAGGGGGGTGTTCAGACACCCCCCCCCCCCCACCCCCCAGCAGGGCGTGGAAATCCAGGACCCCCAGCCGGGCGCGGGTTAACCCTATTAGTGGCAGGGGGGGTTGTTTTCATCCACCCCTCAGGTTTTTCGGGAATATCTCCGAAACCGCTGAGGCTACGATGCTGAAATTTTCTGACTTTTCCTAAAACTAAATTGGGCATATTCCCTAAAAATTTCAAGTTCATAACTTTACCAGGGGCGGCTCCAGAGCACTGGGAATTGGGGGGTCCTATTCGTGAAGCGAGTCATTTGGGCGAAGATCACGATGCTGATGTATTATAACTGTATGTACCAGTTTTACGAACAGTGAATGAAAGGTATGATGTGATAACATATACAAAGTTATTGTGCATCCTCTTTTGACACGTTTTTGCTATAATAGGCGGATCAGGCGTCCAAAAAGGGGGGTTATGTTTACCTCCCAACATAGGTGCCCTGACACCGCCTATGCATGACCAATACAATTGTAGTCGTTCTCTCATAAGAAAATTGTAACATAACAAGACCATTACCACCCTTTTTAGAAACAGTACCAACAAAAACCTTATTTACTATACTTTTTGTGTACCCCCAATCTCAATGATCTGTATCCGCCTATGATTTTTGAAAATGCATATTTTTAGGATCCATGTGAATTCCTGGTTCATTCTCTATCGATCGGCAAAAGTTGCGTTAAGATTGGTTCAGAAACCTGGCCGTGATAAACAGTCTAAAATGTATCTGCAATTTGCCCGTTTTTACCCCCCTCTACCCCCCTATTGACATTTTTTTTAATTTTTATTTTTTAGAAATGTAGATCACGTTGAGCGAAATCGAATGCCGTTTGAATTTTGAAAATCGGCCCGTTAGATCTCGAGATATCAGGGGGGGGGGGTCGTAAACAGCCCCCCCCCCGCCACTAATAGGGGTAGCCAGGAGCCTGCCACTAATAGGGTTAACCCGCGCACCGACGGGGGTCTGCGCCAACTTACAACCGACGGGGGGGGCGGATGACCGCCCGGGGGTCTGCGCCAACTTACAACCGACGACGGGGGGGGGGCGGATGACCGCCCCCCCCCCGCCCTGAGATCTCGAGAACGAAGCAAGATAGCGACAAGCGGTAAACGGCATGGGGTACCCACGGACAAGGTCTACAATTTTTACTTAGGTCATTTTCAGGTCAGGTCAAAGATGACGTCACAGGGGTAAAAAAGTCAGAATGGCGGCGCTAGATATGGAGAGTTTTTCTCGAATAACGTTCGAATTAGTCAAGCTAGGAACAAACTAAGGGCATCATCGTGATCCTCTCGTCATTCCGCATCGAATCATATATATTTTGACCTCGAAAGAAGGTCAGGGTCAAAGGTTGACCTCAGGTCACGTGACCTCGAGGTCATCATGTATACCATTCGATGCGCCTTGGCTAGCTGAACACAATGAGGCCATCTTCACGGCTGTATATCGTTACTGTAAGGAGTTATTGGCAAAAAAAAACGTTGCCCGTTGGTGACCTTTGATGACGTCACATGACCTTACAGCTGGCCAACAGCAAAACAGGCCTCAAGGTAGTGAAGGTTGATCGTATATGAGGTCATGTCTGGTATATGGGGCCATTCCGACGCGTTTTAGTGAAAAAAAAAACAGGGAGTTGATTTTCCCTCATTTACTTATAATGGGGAGGTCGAGAAATTGACCTGACCTTAGGTCATCGATATCGAAATTCCGAGATATAGGTACATATTGTAGCTACCAATGACATAATAACATCCTTGGACTTTCAAAGGCCTCCGTCATCTGCTGTAGGTATAGCTCTGACACTTGGCAAAGTTGCAAAAAAGTGACTTGAGGTTGGGTCATTCAAAGTGACCTGGTGACCAGACCTTAAAAGTTAGGAGGTTCAAACGTGCATACATGTGTAATATTGATGAGAGAAAAGTCATGCCAAATTTCGCGGCGCTACGCGCCGCGGTTTTCCCGCTATTCACGAAAAACCTTGCAGGGGGGGGGATAACCGCCCCCCCCCGTCGGTGTGCGGGATCAACATGTCATGTGCTTCAGATGGACCCAGATCATTTTCGACGCCAAAATCACAGCTTCAATTTTACCCCATCATGACCGATGCCTATTGTGAGGCCAGTGTAGTCACGTCACCGAGTCTTGACCTCAAGTGACTTATGAAAAATCATATAGGATCCCTAGGTTGAGAGGACTCGGAAGCCTTCTAGGTATGAACTTCATGTTAGCTTCATCTATGTAAATTTCACATAGAAAAATTCCCTGGGACTCAAGGTGTTATGAAGTCGGGGCATAAACCGTGTTGCGGTTCATTTTTGACGTCAAAGTCAGGTCAGTGAACTGACTCGACCTGAGAATGATGTTGATATCACTAAATATAGCTGACTTAAATGACAGACATTTCAAAGTTCAACGCTCCGCTTTTCATCCATAACGCGTGATCCTATCAATCACGAGAAAACTGTCAGGGCCCAAGGGGTTCGTACCACGCCTCTCCTCCCTCCCTCCCCCTCGGACGGAGAGGGAATGGACTGAGCCGTGACAAGTGATAGGTATATACCTATGGCGGTGGTTGATAATGTCTGTCTGTGCAACCACTGAATCATACCTCATGCTAGGTGGTCTGTTAGTCATTGTTCAATGTACATGTGTATTAGACGATAACCCGATATCGGTTGGACTATTTCCGGCTTCGCGAGGTGCCTGCTTAGAGATCGAATCAAACCACGCTCAACGAAGGTGTCGTTTTATCTATTCAGTGTCTGCGACCTAGTGTCAGATCAAATTAGCGACATCAGGACAAAAAGATTCAACGTAGTTGGACAAAAGAAGCAGAATATTGCCAAAAACGTCGATCTACGACCTATTGAGACGAAGTTGTTTATAAAAAAAAACGGACCCCGACCCTGGGAACCTTGAACTCACCTCTGAGGTCAAAACTCAACAGCTGACCCGCGAAAACTTCAAACGATGAAGATATTGAATATTTATTTATACCAATGAAAACACCTTGGATGCCCTTAGCCTAACAGTAGGTAGGTGCAGATCAGCCGTTATTGCTCATAGGCAGCTTTTATTAGTCACACCTTGCACTAAGGTCACATTTCAATATGCCCTTGAAATAAATCATGTTTTTGTTACGCATCTTGACGTGTGAAACACAGTGGTGACAACATAATTTCCGTACAAGCCTTATGTTATTTCATAAAAAACAACGACATTGCTTTGACAGTTTGACATGTTTTGCTCTAATGGAAGTTGACGTGAGGACATTCTTGCGAAACTATTTAAGAAAGTTGCGATTTGAATTCTGATCGCAGTTACGGCATACCATTACCGACTTTGCAGCAGGATGAGTCATCGAAACACCTCGGTCATTTTTTGGGTCAGGTCAAAGGTCAGGTCACCAGAGGTCATCAAAGGTCAAATGTAGTCCTTTTCAACAATTTTGGAATCTGCCAACGGCTAACTCGGAAACCAATACAGCTACAGTGCCGCGGAAAAGCGTATTCGATAGCTCTTTTACAGACCTTTCTGATTAATGCTCTCAGATTTGACCTCAGGTCAATGGTTTAGCCTCCAGAGGGCAAAAACTGTAAAAATAGCAGTTTTCACGAAAATTGTTTTTCGGCAATAACTTTTGACTTAACCCGGCAGTTGCTGGGATATTTCGCCACCCGCCGTTTGCTGGGGGGGCATTTTTTTGCCCCCCCCCCCCTTAGTTTTTTCGATATATCTCGAGAACCGCTGCGCCGATAGTCACCAAACTTTCAGTACCCTCCCATAAATAGCTATTGCACATTGTGACAAAAAAAAAAATCCAAAGGCTATGATAGGTTGGACGCTAATGACGTCAGAGTGACGTCATTTCTGCCATTTTCGACCCAAAAAAGGTTTCGCGAGAAGAGCTGTCAGGCCTACAGCTTTAGAGATACAGACAAATGTTTCAAACATAAAAGGTGTAGAATTTAGAGGGCTACAAAACTGCTATCTCTTATTTTTGAATTTTTGGATTTTGACCCCCAAAAATCAAAAAATAGATTTCTTAAATATAATAACCGAAAAATCCAAAAAGATTTTTTGAATTTCGAAAAAACGGAAGATATGTGATAGTCCCTAGCGCCTTCTATCTACATACCAAATTTGAAATCGATACCTCTTTTTTGGCCAAGTTAGGTATAGCGAAAAAAACTTCAAAATTAATGACGTCAAATTTTCAAACTAAATTTTTAGCAATTCTAGACCTCTTAGCGCAAAACAAAGACCACTATTAGACTCCCCGTAACGAGCTGCATTGAATCAATATCCATTTTATGCAAAAATATCAACTTTGAAATTTGACCTTTTTTGACCTGACCTTGACCTGACCTCCACCAGAAAGTGACCTAAACCGTGCCTGATGGTCTTATAACCAACACCATTGAGTTGGAAATGAAAAACTGGCCATAAAACATGCATCGCACAACCATCGAATCGATACCCATTTTATGCAATAATATCAAGTTTGAACTTCGGCCTTATTTGACCTGACCTTGACCTGACCTTCACCAGAACATCACCTTAACTGGCACCAAAGGCTGCCTGACCCACATAATCGCATTTGTCATGTAAAATGGACCATAAAACATGCATCACATGATATTTTCATATTTTGACCCTCTGTGAGCTGACCTCTGTGACCTGACCTGGTATCAGTGACGTCAAATAGCAAAATATGTGTTTAAGGGACAATTCAACACCGATGATTTTCAATGACATGCATTTTAGTCGATTTTACCATGCATTTCTTGAAATACCTGTACGGTGAAAATTCGACCTTTGACCTGACCTGTGACGCCATCGGTTAGACCGAGGTCAATGAAATTGGGTCACAAGGTATTTCCCCGTTGGGCCTATCCAACGCCGTTTGCTGCTTATCGCTATGTTGCGACAAGGTTCTCGAGATCCTGGGGGGGGGGGGGGTCAAAATGCCCCCCCCCCATCATGGCGCGTTGCTCGGCAGACCCCATGAGCCGAGGGCGCGGGCTAAACTTATCAAAAAGCGTAACAACTAACGAAAACAATCCGCTGTGCTCATCGGCAAGGGGGCGCTAAAGACGGTACCTACCTACGTTTATTGTCGCCCAACGCAATGGAATGCAATGGAACTGTTGATATATGCATGCATCACATAAGTAACTGCTGGAAATGAAAACAATCCGCCAGCCAGTGAGACACACCAACCTGTCTGTCGTCGGTTCGGCTCCTCTGCGGCGTCCCCGCTCAGCAGGCTGTCAGATGCGGCGGGGCCACTCGGAGGCTGCAGGGCGGAGCGTGCGGCGTGCCAAGCTTGGACTGAGCAGCCACGCTGCGGCCAGTGGAGGCGCCACAATCTGTGCCGATTGCACGCTGCCGGACCGGACGGACCACGGCCATATCGCACCAACAGGGGGCCGCCAGAGCTGAGACCGGCGGACAGCGAACGGGGCGCCAACGTGTGGCGGCTGTCTCTTAACCCTCGCCCGTATAGGGGGGTCGAACGGACCCCCCCCCATGGTTTTTCGCGAATAACTCGCGTAAAAAGCGGCCGATCGCGACGAAACTTTCAGTACCCTCGCGTTCATCAATTTCACACCTACCCTAAAAATTTCATGACCCTGACCCAAATGACCTTTGACCTCTGACCTACTTTTCGAGACCATGTTTGCCTGGAACTGCGATTCGGCGTATGTCGGCTCGCATTAGCCGCGCGTTTGCAGTCTTTTCGTGGTTTCAAGCGTTCAAACATGTGATATGATGTTGCCCCATGCATTATGGTGGGTGTCAAGGTCACCTGAAGGTCAGGTCAGGTCATTGACCTTTGATGACCTCGGTTCACTTTTTCGAGTTTTACATGTTTCTAGGCCAGTTTTTGGAGCTGAATTCGAATTTAGCAGCCATATGAACATTTACGAAGTAGTTTTGGTGCCTTCGTAACATGTTACGAAGCTGTCAGAGGCGGTTGCCACCTACTACGAATACCCTTACTGGTTGACCTGACCTGACCTGACCCGACCTGGCCTAAATACATGAAGACATCATCTGTGATCAAAACTAACATGATATTCGTGATCAGCACCCCGAAAAACCCCATAGCAGCCACACTTTACGACGTTCTAACAGGTCCCGATTTTCCCGCCTTTGGGGTCATTGACCTGACCTGCAAGGTCAACCAATGACCTAGGACCTTAAAATTGGGTATCATCGGCTTCCTCTCGTTACGGGCAACACGCTCGTTTTTTCTGCGAAGCTCTAGCTCGATCAGGGGCGAAACGGCAAGGGGGGTCCAACGCACCCCCCCCCTCCCTTATACGTTCGCGGCTGGAAAAACACCAATACGGGCGAGGGTTAACCCGCGCCCCGTTGGGGGGGGAGGTAGGGGAGGGGGCGAAACGACTCCCCTTTCCTTTTCAGTCGATATCTCCTGAAGTGATGCAGATATCGTCACCAAACGTATAGGACATCTCCGGGCATTAATTTTGCACCTTGTGTTCAAATATTTTTTGAGAGCCTTTGAAAGCTTAGCCACAAATTACGTCACAGTGGCGTCATGTTCTGCCATTTTCGATCCAGAAAAGGGTTTTGCGGGAAGAGCTGTCACGCCTACAGTTTTGAATGTAGAGAAAAAGTTTAATGCCATAAAAGTGTAGAATGGATATTGCTACGAAACTGCTATCCCAGATTTTCAAAGATCTGGCATTTTGACCCCCAAAAATAAAAAGGTGATTTTAAGTACCCTAAAAGAAACAGAAATTTCCAAAAGTTTTAAAAAATGGGAAGATATCTTGTATCATCAACGAAACACCATCAACATGCCAACTTTAAGCTCAACATAGCTCCATTTTTGGCAAAGTTATGGCGAAAAAAACTAAGTAGGTAAGTACTCAAGATTGATGACGTCAAATTTTCAAACTCATTTGTAACCGTTCTATGCCATTTAGCGTAGAAAGATGACCACCATTGGATTGCCCGTGACGAGCGGCATCGAATTAATGCCTTTTTAAGCAAAAATATCAACTTCGAAATTTGACTACCTAACCTTGACCTGACCTTGACTTCCACCAGAACATAAACTCTAAATGTTCGCCTCCCAACAACCTCCCAATGTTCACCTAAAGCACAACTTTAAATATGAAATGTAGAATGGCTCTAATTCCAAATCGGCCGTAAAACATGTATCGCATTACTTTAAAGTAGGTATAGTTGGGTTCACCCTCTGTGACCTGACCTGGCATCAGTGACCTCATTAACTCTCGCCCTTGCAGAGGGAGTCGATGCGACCTCCCAAAGTTTTTTTCAAAGATAACGTAAAACCGGCGGATAACGTAAAACCGCCAACTTTGGCACAGCCTATGGGGCAACCTTGTTATATATGACCTGAAAATTTCAGGTCCGAGTAACCTCGGGTCAGGTCACTAGGTCAGAAAAACCGGTACAAGGTCACGGTCAAATTTCAATTTTCTTTATGCACCTGTCCAGCTCACAGTTTTGTTCTGATTTCCTTCAAACTTTCAGGATGTGCTAAGTTCATCGAGCATAGTTCGTATTTATGTCACTGACCTGAGGTCAGTTAGAGGTCAATGGTCATTGCGTCGTAATGTTAAGCCTATGAGAAAATATTCAAATAACTCCAATTAGGAAAATTCTAGATATCCGCTTCGTTCTATCACTTTTGTGCTTTAATACCACAGTACTTAACATTATGTCACTTGTTTTTCTTTGTTTGGTGTATAGTCGACTGCAGAATGATGTTCCACTTTTAACAGGCAATTATTTGCCTGTAGTGGTAGGCTGTGCCGCATCACACGGGCTGAGTTCACAAATTATAGCTTTGTCCCAATGCTCACAATCGACACGCTTAATTGCGTGATAAACGGCACAACTTGGCGCTCCGGTCAACTGATAGCTTCTGAGGAGTGGAACATCATTCTGTAGTCGACTATACTTATCCAAGGGTCAGGTCAAATGAGGTTAACTGAGGTCAAATGACGTTTGTGCCGATAAATTGTCACAGAAGAAAGATAGAGCTTTCAAAATGGTATCATTTTGTTCCTCTTGAACAGCCGAGTCGAATGATATGCAACATTAAGCATGTCGACCATTCTTAAGTTTTACTTAAGAATGGCTTAAGTTTTACTTAAGTTATGCTTAACTTTTTAAGTACACTTAAACAAGCAAAAAAAAACCATACCAATCGACGCGCCTTGACGTGTTGAGTTCACCGATACTTTTGTTTTTGCTCTATCTTAATAAGATCAAAAGCTATAAGCGAAAAACTTTTGACCTGTTCTATCAAAAATTTTCATTTATACCCCCAAAACCACCTAAATATTGACCTAGAGCAACCAAATTTGCGCAGGGGCGAGAATTCTGGGGGGTGCATCTACCTACCAAATTTGGTATTTCTAGGTGCCATGTCCAGCCAATCGCGAGGGGGTGGGGTCGCAACGTAGTCCATTCGTCGTGGTCCACTGCAGGAACATACCTTTTAGATCCGTGTCTTAGATATTTTAAAGTTTATTTGTACTTTTTCTATTCTTATTGTTTTTTTTTAAATTTAATTTTATTTTTACCGTGTACTTTTATATTATATCATATTATTTTCTGGATCTCTTTTATGAATCTCTGTATTTTTAAGTGTCATCTATTTGCGAATCAGTGAGTGCGTGTCTTCGGGTTAGTGTTTACCTTGTGTGTGTAATGTGTATTTTATGTTGTGGTATGACTTCGCCTGTTAATGGGCCATGAGCCTGTTGGCGATTTATTTGAATAAATGAATAAATAAATAAACAACCCTGCAAGGCCGCGTTATGAAAAATGGCCTGCCAGGGCGAGGGTTAAGCAGCTGGGCGCGGGAACTACTTTCAGACTGGGTGGCACACCATAATAATAAATAATAGAGATCATCCTGGGGTACCCCCAAATCTAGTTTCTCGCCGTTTTTACGCCACTTATTTTTCATCCCTTGGCTTTTATAAACAAAAAAGATACCATTTCCATTAAAATTGCGGTATTTCGTCTCAAAGTCGTGACAGCTACAGAGTGTGGGGGGGGGGGGGGGCAAGCTGCCCCAACTGCCACCCCCTCCCCCCTGGTTCCTGCGCCTATGTCATTAAGCAACCTATGTAAGTACCTATTAGGCAACTAACGCCCTATCGATGATTTTCGATAAGTACCTTTTACTCGATGTTATAACGCATTCCTCGGAAGGCCTGTGAACGGTGAAAAAATGAGACCTTTTACCTGACCTGTGACGTCATCGGTTGCACCTAGGTCAATTAAATTCGGTCGCATGGTAGTTCCCCGGTGGGGCTATCGGGCGCTGTTTGAATTTTGGAAATCGTTCGGCAGCTTTCCGAGATTGGGTCCGGAACGGGGCGCGGATTAATGATTCCGAATTGAAACTTACTTAATAGCATATACAGGGTGTCCAGAAAAACGGATACTATTATTTTTTGCTGTAATTCCGAAAATAAACACCTTACATTTTAAAATGGCACATGCTTGTATTCGCAAAAATATGGCAAAACAGACAGCAAGTGCCACATGGCATGTAAACTCTTTGGTTAGTCGCGGCAGCTCCTCAAAGCAGATACTCAATGTGAGCGGCCTTACGGCGGATCAGCTCCAGCACTAGCACAGTCTGCAGGTGACTGATGGTCATGTTGACTATCTCGGAGGGCAGGCAGACAACTTTCCAACGACGCATTACAGTGCTCATAAGTTTTGCCAAATCTTGCACTATTAGCACATGAAGTTGAAACAAAATCGGCTCGTGCGTTAATGAATGCGACTTAATTTCCGTAGTATCTTTTTTTCTGGACACCCTGTAGGTATCACACGATACCAGGGGCGGATCCAGGAATTTTCGGGAGGGGGGGCGGCAAGTCGAAATAGGGGCGACCTGGCAATCCGGGGGCGCTCCATACAAAGGGGGCGCCAAACCCTCAAAATCGGGAGTTAAAAACCCGCGCCGTGCTGGGGGCGTTATTGCGCTCCCTGTCAGGTTTTTCGCATATATCTGAAAAACGGCGCCGCCATTTTCAGTATACCTTATCATGCATCTTTTCTGCACATGTTGTAAAAATTTCAGACGTGGGTGATGGAAGGTCAGGTCACCAGGTTATGCCAAGTGACCTAACCTAAGAAAAAGTTCAAATGCTCACCATTGCTATACCGACTGAACGATCGCTTTGAACCTTTCAGCGATTGATGAAAGCAACAACATTCATGAAATGTATATCTCGGAATTTCGATATCTGTGACCTAAGGTCAGGTCAGTTGTGCGACGTCTCCATTAGGTAGGTAGGTATGATTAAGTCTTTGGGAGAAAACTGAAAGGCATTTCTTTTGGACGAGCGCCATTCTACATAGACAATATCAAGCATTGGGATACATATAAAATTAACACACTGAATAAGAACATTGCACCTAGTGTGACCACTCATTATTTCCCAGAGGTCATCCCATGTCATGAAAGGTCCACAGCAGTTTTTTTTAAAATAACTTTTGATAGATTCATGCTAGAGCGATAAAAACACCTCAGTTGTGTTCAGCTCGACGATACGCAATACGCATCGACTGCTATGCAGCATGACCTTTCCCGGTCAGGTCATGACCTTGACCTGAGGTCAAATTCTCAAAATTACTTTTCATAAGGTCAACCTTTAGTTTGTTCGACGTGTCTCGACGACAGAAACGCAATGCTGGCAAACGTAATGTCGAGACTCTCTTGAGTCAAAAGTTATTGCAGGAAAAAATTGTTCGTAAAACGGCTATTTTAGAGTCTTTTGCCCTCTGAAGGCTAAACCGTTGACCTGAGGTCAAATCTGAGCGCAGCTTACAGTAACACCTCTGAAAGGGCTATCGAATGCGCTTTTCTGCGGCGCTATAGTTCTATTGGTTTCCGAGCTATGTGCCGCTGCTTCGAAAACGGAAAAATGTTGAAATAGGCAACATTTTACCTTTGATGACCTCTGGTGACCTGACATTCGACCTGACCTAAAAAATGACCGTTTTGTTTTCGTCCTGTTTTTGGACGATCTTTCGAATGCCGCTTATCGCGTGTCACTACGCGGCCCAGAAGCCGAGTTAGACGAGGGAGTGTGACCCCCCCCCCTCCCCAGCAGGACACGGAAAACTCAGACCACCAGCACGGCACGGGTTAAAAGTCGTAGATGGACACCGCTACCCTAGCAAAAGAGATTAGCAAAAAGGTGGCCTCCATTTACTGGTGCAGTCCTTCTTCTCCCGGTGATATCCCTCCTTTTTCTGGAAGCGTCTCACTTATGCTGGTATGCCTCACTTCTCCCGGAAGCGCCCAACCTCTGCTTGGATCGCCTAATCCCTCATGGGGAGACCCACTTTGCTTAAGTCGCCTCATTTCTTCCTCCTAAGAACGACCAATTTGCTGTAGGCGGCCCACTTATCTGGGACGCCCATCTTCTGCTAGAAGTGCCCCTCTTCTTCCTGATGCGTCTCACTTCTACTACGAGTGCACCTTTTCTGTTGGGGCGCCCCTTTGCTGCTGAGGAGTCTTTTTTCTACTGTGAATAGGGCGGCCCTCTCCTGTTGGGCGACCCCAAATTCTGCTGGAGGCTCCCCACTTCTGCCCAACTTTTGATGGGGTGCCCCTCTCTTGCAGGGGGCACTTTTCTTTTGCTGGAGACGCCACTCTTGTGGGGGCGCCCTTCCACTGCGGGGAACGTCTATCTTCTGCCAGAGGCACCCCTTTTCTTCTTATGGGGCTCCTGTTTTTTTTTTTTTTGCTGGGGTGAGGCGACCCTCTTCTGCTCGGAACGGGGCACCCCTTCCTTTTACTGGGGCACCGCCCCTCTGCTGGGGTTGCCCTTCCGCTGTCAGGGGCGCCCCTCTTGGTAGAATATGCTCCTTTTCTTTTCGTAATGGGGCGCCCCTCTTTTACTGGGGGCGCCCAACGGCTGCTGTCTGCTGGGGCGCCCATCTGCCGCTGGGGCGTCTCTCGTCTGCCGGATGTTGTCAATGGGGCGCCCATATCCTGCTTGGCGGGCCCAACCTCTGCTGGAGGCTCCCTATTTCTGATTAACTTTTGCTGTGGCGCCTCTCTTCTGCTGGGGCGCCCCTCTTCTGCTTGGGGCGCCCGTCTCCTGCTGGAGACCCCTCTCTTCTGCTGGGGCGCCCCTCTTCTGCCAGTGGCACCCATTTTCTTCTTATGGAGCTTTTTTGTCGGGGCGCCCATCTGCTGTCAGGGCGCCCCTCTTCTCGGAATGGGGGCGCCTATCTCCGTTTGCTGGGGCGTCGCTCCTCTTCAGGGGTGCCTTCTCCTGCTGGGGGTGCCTTTCCGCTGCCAGGGGCGCCCCTCTTGAACAGAATGTATCTTTTTATTCTTGTAATAAGACGTTCCTCTTCTGCTGGGGGCGCCCATCTGCTGCTGGGGCGACTCTCATCTGCTGGGAATGGGCAATTGGGCGTCACTCTCCTGCTTGGTGAGCCCAACTTCTGCTGGAGGCGCCCTATTTCTGCTGAACCTTTGCTGTGTCGCCGCTCTTCTGCTCGGGGCGCCCTCTCTGCCGCGGGATATGGGCGCCTTTTTCGGATGGGGGGGGGGCGGCCGCCCCCGCCGCCCCCCCCCCCCTGGATCCGCGCCTGTACGATACCATTTGTATAAAGAAAGACGATAGCTTTTCTTATTGATTTTTTCCCAAACACGAACCCCGAGGAAATTCTGGCTCGATTTTTTTATGAAAGGTTCCGGTAAAAGTGGGATAAGTGGGGGGGGGGGGGGGAGAGCATTTATCGGCTGCTCAGAATTGCGTAAAATGATTGTACTTGATAACAAGGCGAGAAGAAGAGCGTGAGAACGTTCTTTGGACATTTCAATAGCCAGGGATAGGATTGTGCGTAACAAATGCGTTGTGGTATTTTCCCAAACTGCAAAAAGAAGCGTCTTTCCAATCCGATGGGATAGAACAGCGATAAGCATTGATGAGAAACCATTCTCTAGAGCAGGAACCAGAGCTAACAAATGTGTGGTATACAGTCCGGGTGCGGAAGAGAGGGCTGACAAGCGTCTGGCATTATATAACTTCAACGTGCAGCTCGGCTTTGCACGGAAATCCGGTTCGTCTCACTGAAATTACCTCCACATTCTGCAGCCTTTGTTACGAGGGCCGGTATACCAGGGTTCTCTCCCGCGTGGCTCTTTGAGAGCTATCAGCAGCTCAGCAAGTCTTGACCTATCGCCTCGGCCGCCTCAGCCCGACATGACTCGGAAGCGCACCCCGATACCGCGCATGCTCGCTGGCGGCAAAGTGCACAGTGCGGCGGGTGCCCCGCAGAGGCGCGCAAGTGTGCGCGATAGCAGTTGCATTTCGCTTTGTGTCGCGCCCGCAGTGGTCGACGGACCAGCATCCTGCCGGGCTAGATCATGGCCCACCCAGCCAGCGAGGTAAGAAATGGTATTCCGTTTATATGCTCTTAATTAAGTAGGTACTGTGTTAAAAACGGTCGCCTTCCTTGCATTTGGATGATGAGCAATCGCGGAACGAGTCTAAGCAGCCGCCAATATGTGTTGAAAAGTAGAGAGAATCGGACTGCAAGAAAACTTGGACACACCCAATATATGGCCGACCGATAAGAAAAAGGGATTGTTTCACATATTTCCATAGAAATTAGTTGACGCACAGTGTGCGTCAACTGCACACCACAACAAGGCGGGTACGTATACTTTCTCTATGGCGTGTGCTACCGAGATGTTGAGCAAAAGTTTGTGCGTTGTTCCGTAAATCGGTCTGCTGTTTATTTACCGATGTGCTCTATAAGCGCTTTTACCTTCGGATGCTGTTGACTTTCTCTTTAACCCGCACACCGACGGGGGGAGGGGTGGTTGACCGCCCTCCCCCCTGAGGTTTTTCGTGAATAGTGCAAAAACCGCGGCGCGTAGCGCCGCGAAATTTGGCATGACTTTTTCCTCATCAATTTTACACATGGTGTGCAACTTTGAACCTCCTACCTTTCAAGGTCAGGTCACCAGGTCACTTCGAATGACCCAACCTCAAATCACTTTTTTTGCAACTTTGTCACCGTGTCAGAGCTACAGTAGATGACGGAGACCTTTGAAAGTCGAAGGATGTAACGAGGTCATCAGTAGCTACAATTTGTTTATCTCGGAATTTTGATATCGATGAGTTAAGGTCAGGTTAATTTCTTGACCGTCGGTGCGCGGTTTAATACCAGAAAGAATGTATTTTTATGTATCATATCATGATTTCGTTTTAGAGACTAACATGGCGATAATGTCTCACTTCACCTGGGCGTGTCCCAATTTACGGTGTGTCATTTTACCGAAAATGTGAATCAAATAACAGAATAGTAAGATTTACTTCAGCTGGCTACTCAAAACACATGCTCATGCTCCCTTCACGTTTTCACGCCTTTTTTCTGCAGCTGAAAACAGCCCGTCCAGATGCAAAAAATGCAAGATCACTAGTGAACAAGTATATGTATAGAAATGGTCAGCCTCTTCCTATATTCGAGACGCGGCCATACAATGGGTGAGTTTTATTCATAGGGGTGACAAACGAGCGAGCGCGAGAGTGAGTGAGCCCTGTGCGTGCGGAAATGCAAATGCGATATACTTCCCACCCACTTGTGCACGGCACCCTTCCAACGGGCCTCTACAGCGACGTGTCAAATGTGAGCGCAGTCGGCCCCTAGGCGTTCTCGAGATGTGGAAGCAGCAATATGCACACATGTGCACAGTGCACGTGCGCGCGTGCGAACTGGATTCGAACTGAATATGTCACGGCACCCTAACCGCCAGCTCCTAACCCTGTACCAAATTGAAGTGCAGCTTTGAGGCCCAGCCGCTTCCGATATTCGAGATCTGGGAGCGATTGCACGTGGGCACCGCGCACGTGCAATGCAATGCATTGTGACACATGGAAATGCATTGCTCGATGAGTGCCTACCTAGTACCTACATGCCAACTTTCAGCTCGATCGGCACAGAAATTACCAAACTTGTCTATTGTAATTGTTACAAAGTGACACCATTTCATTCACGTGGGACGTGCAGTGGGGGTCAACCAATGGCTGCAGCGTTCCATTTTACAGACACTGGTGTTGGTTTAATTGTTTATACTGAAACGCTGACGCAACGTACTTTTTTTCCAGGAACATCGCTTCACGTGTGAAAATTTCTCTTCCATCGGTCGATGTGGAATTTGAATGCAGGGCTGCAGGAGCAACTGACAAAGTAAGCTGGGTTGTGTTATACCTAAATGGAACTCGTGTCTTGAGTTTCTTTAGTCGAAACTATCAAACTGGTGGGTGCATAAAGGAGGCAATGAACTCTGTGGAGACTTCCTCACAAAGTCTTCCAGTCTCCAAATATAATATGTAATGGTCGGAATTTCCTTCTTTAACCCGCGCATGACTGGGGGGGGGGGGGGGCTTTATAAAGGCAGAATGATGGAAGGAGCTCTTATATAGAGCCCTCCTGTTTTTCTGCAATATCTTCCAAACCGCTGGACTTAGCGACACGAATCTTAAAATACAACCAGCTGCATCAATTTGAAACCTTGTGTACAAAGCAAAACTTCGAAGCCACCGTAGGTTAGCAGGAAATGACGTAAGAGTGACGACATATTTGGCCGATTTTGATGCAAAATCTTGGCCTGCAACCGCTCTCAAGTCTCAACTGACTGTTTTTTTTTCTTAGCTAGCACCAATTTCTTTGCATAAAGGGACTCAAAATAAACAGAGCTATCAAATTTTTTTCTCGGGTTAAAGAAATTAGAACATTTTTGAAAATTATATGTAATACAAAATCTAACCAAATAAGTGTTGGATTTTCCCCTGTAAGTTTTCGCTCTATAAAAACGGGAACATATGTTATGGAACACATACAAATGACTTTCTCTGGACATTTTTCAACCCGTCATCTGCAAAAATGGCAAACTTATCCCCTGTCCATTTTGCGGTAGCCAATTATTCGCTATTATCAATATAGGTACTTCAAATTCACTTGTTAGTACGTTTTTGACATCGTACGTCAAAACGAATAACACCATCGTGTTCCTTAGCTCAAACTGTAGCTGAAAAATACTTCTTTGTTAACCCTCGCCGGCCGAGGGGGGCGGGTGCCGCCCACCCCATAGGGTTTTTTTTCGCGATAGTTCCGAACACGCTGGCGATAGAGAGCTGAAACTTGGCATACCTGACCTTTGATTCAAGCCGGATCTTTTGACACCAACTACATTCTCGGGTCAGGTCAGGTCACTGATCTATGACGTCATAAGTGAACCTCTGCACGGTCTTCAGATGTCGCAACTTCGCAACGCCCTCACTGCCAGAGGAGCTTTCACAGGGTCTTAAGCATGCATGTAAGGATGAGTTCGTAAACCAAAAATGGGCCCAACGTGACTTGTTGAGCGGCATGAGTCAGAGGACAAAATGTGAATATGCTAAAATGTTGATAGTTTTTACTTTGACCTGACCTGTGATGGCATCGGTAACCTCGAGGTCAACAAAATTAGGTTTAGCACGACAGTTATTTATTCTAGGGATATCAGAGGCCGTTTGAATTTTGACAATGGGACCTGTGGTTTTTAAGATATAATAGGAGAGGGCTCCGCGAGCTCCCCCCCCCCCCCCCCCCCCCCCCCTCCCAGTCACTCGCGTTATGGAATATGGTACCCCAGCCATGTGCAGGTTAAACGCTGCTCTGCAAATAAAAACAAACGTTTTACAAAACAAAAAATGTAAAGGCTTTTGAAGCGAGGAAAACAGGTATTCCAAATACCAACTTCCCCCTGGATTCACCGGTAAGTTGTTGTCATTTATACATACCTACAATGACATCGCTGGTCAAATACGATAAAAGTTAGGTTGTTAAAAACCATGTTCTGGCTACTACATATACGAGTGAGAGACATAAAAAAATATGTTGACCTGACAGATAGAGCTGATTGTCGCATTAAAGCTAATTAACTTTATAGTTCACTTAAAAAAGTAGCTTGGCTTAATGTGATGGTTTGGACATTGACCTTACTGTCAAACGTCTATCTGCATCGCATGCTCGCGTTAACTGAATGAGTAATTTCTGACATTTCACCCCTCCCCCAAACTTTGTGAACTGCAACCCCATCCGTTTCCAAGTTATCCAATAAATTTCATAATGCCTAGCTATATATATATATATATATATATATATATATATATATATATATATATATATATATATATATATATATATGTATGTTTCGTTAAAAATGACCGAATTATTTGCGTTGATGGGTTTCTTCTGAACCTTTTCGATAGAACGCACTACATGAGCAGAAGAAACTCATCAACGCAAATAACTCGGTCATTTTTAACGAAACATGTCTCGAAAATGGATTGCTCCCAAAATATATAAATATATATACATATATATATTGTTTGTGTAGATAGGCAGAGTATCTTCATTTAGACATTGTTCATTGAACCGTAGTGCGAATTCTGCTTTTATGAGCTTCCGATTTGTGTGTTCGTATTTTCGGATCGTTTTCTTGAGAGATGTTGATAATTGTCCGATTATATTGGCAAAGGTTTCAGACATAACATGTATACAAAATTAAATTCCTTAAGCTTTCGAAGACATCTACGTCTTCATGATCACAAGGTTGAATTGTAAAAGCACAGAGCCTAAGTTTGCTATTAGAATGGAAGGGAGAAAAACTAAATACATATTGTGCGTGATAAATTTTTATCAATTTAATTTATCACGCACAATATGTATTTAGTTTTTCTCCCTTCCATTCTAATAGCAAACTTAGGCTCTGTGCTTTTACAATTCAACCTTGTGATCATGAAGACGTAGATGTCTTCGAAAGCTTAAGGAATTTAATTTTGTATACATGTTATGTCTGAAACCTTTGCCAATATAATCGGACAATTATCAACATCTCTCAAGAAAACGATCCGAAAATACGAACACACAAATCGGAAGCTCATAAAAGCAGAATTCGCACTACGGTTCAATGAACATATATATATATATATATATATATATATATATATATATATATATATATATATATATATATATATATAGGATGCCATTCGCCTCTGTATTATCTAGTGCTGCTTGTGTAAAAATCGTTCAAAATGAACGATGTAGCAGTGATGAATGAAAGGCACCACCCAAAATTTAGGCTTTGTTGATGTTTCCTTATACTCCACGTAGTTCCAATCAAGTTTCTTTTTCATTTACTAGATCCGATGGAGGCTTTAAATCGATAGGGTGTGGTTTTTGAAATGTTTAATTTATCGACACCCGCCCACGCAGGAAGCGATACTGAGATGCGCCGAGCACGTCGTGGAAGAGCTGGAGCGGCGGAACCTCCTGGACAGGGCGGCCGCCCCTTCACGATCGCAGCTGCCCAGCGCCGGGCAGCTGCAGGTGGCCAGAAGCGGACAGCTGCAGCTGGCTAGCAGCCGACAGCTGCAGGTAGCCAGCGGCGAAACGTTACGGCCGGACATGACTACAGCAACCCAGGCGAGTTAACTTTATAACCACCATCAACATCAGTCCTAATCACTACTGATGTGCAATGAAGACAGTGACGCAGCCGTTAAAGCATTAAAACACATTCGGCATCCCCTACAATTTCGCTAAAATTCAAACAGGACATTAATATGCGTGTCCTCATCACACATGCAATACCTAAGCAGAATATTGATCCGTTTGGGCTGGGAGTTTCGTAAAAAAAAGAAACTTTTTCAGTGGCTGCTACGATCTCATCCGTCAGGGTCGCCGAAAGCGATATTTTTATTTATATATCAACCACCAAACGGATAAACATGTTGCTTAGTTATTGCATGTGCGTGATGAGGGCACCCATAGCCGTGTCCTGTGTGAACTTGAGCGGAACCACAAGGGTCGCTGAAAATGGCTTTCTCTGTCACCTCAACCTCCAACTACGAAACGAGTGAAACATTGTTTAGATAGGTATTTTCCAATTATCATGTGTAATAACGGCACCCTGCAATGTCCTGTGTGAATTTGAACGAAATTGCAGGAGTCACCGAGTGCGTTTTTTGAATGCGTATACGAATGCGTTGCTGTCCAATCTTTGACAAATGATGTTTCTCACTCAACAAAACAATTTGCCCGATCAGAACAGAAAGCTTGACTACAGCGGACTTAGATACTCAAATCTGCACTTATTTGGCTGTCTTCACGATTTTGACGCCTTTTTTATACAGCTGAATACAAGCCGTCCAGATGCAAACGATGCAAGATTACTAGTCAACAAGTATATGTATAGAAACGGTCAGCCCCTTCCTATATTCGAGACGCGGCCATACAATGGGTGAGTTTTATTCATGCATTGGGTTGCCGAGATGTCTGTTAAAAGAAACGTAAGCATCTTACCATTTTGAAAAATTATATGCTATTTTATATAACTGCTAGTGAGTCATAAATACAATATTTGTCAGCGACCAATTATTGTTTGTAGCACAAATTTGTTTATCGATAATAGCAAAATGATGCCGAAGCATTAAAATTGTATATATTTCGCCTCGCATTGTCATGTATGCGTGCAAAATAGCAGCAAAACTTTACAGATCAGTGAAATGGACATAACGCTCACATCAAGCACAAGCATTTTATTTTGCAATGACTGGTTTCGGTTAAATTGTTTATATTGAAGCGCTGACGCAGCGTACTTTTTACAGGAACATTCTCTCGCGGGTAAAAATATGTCTTCCACCAGTCCATGTCGAATTTGAACGCTTGGCGGCAGGAGCAACCGATGATGTAAGCTGGTTGTGTTATGAATGATATTTTTAAGCTAAAAAATGACAAAAATACGTTCATTTGGGACGCAGTGGGAGGCAAAATATGTATTTACCGCCTTCCTGAATCTTTTTTTAACCCTCGCCAGCACATCGAGGGGGGAGGGTAGTTGCCACCCCCCCCCGCCAGGTAGTTTTTTTCTGTTCTGCACTAAACATCTTTAAAGCTAGAAGCCTGATTTTTCGTATAGCTGCTTTTCTATCTCTTTTCGGCGTCCACTGAAAATGTCAAGTTTCTGGGGTTTTTGGTTTCGGAGATATGACCTTGTTCTTCAGAGCATGTCATGACCCAAACGACCAATGCCCAATATCTTGCGTTGGCTATGGGTCTTGTGAGCTTTTGCCTTTTGACACCTTGATTTCGGTTGTTTTGCCAGTCTTACCTCCCACCTATCATGGAACATGTTGTTCGACGATGTCCAGATGTCAGGGTCAAGGTCAACCTAGGTCATCTAAATCATTGCGTTTTATGCAAGCTGAATGTATTTTCGTGAAGTTTCTTTGACTGCATTTTTGGTAAAACCTTCGCAGTTCATGATCTCATGTAATAGGGACACACAAACCAATCGATGCACACATCAGTATACACACAGACACACACACAGACATACAAACACATATCATTAACCTTGACCTAACTTGACCTGAAATGACCACAGCCAGCAAAAACCTAGTCGAATAGTGTGACAAAGCTGTTCTAGCTGGCTTGGCACCACAAACGGCAGCGTCATCGGTTGATGGGCACCGCACGTGACATTCCAACGGTGACCCCCAAGCAGCAACATTTCTTAGATTGACCTGACCTGGAAGGTCAATGACTGACATAATGAGGTAAAATTGAGTATCATTGGATTTGTCTCTTCCCAAATAATCCGTTGGTCTTTACCGCGAAGGTCTATCTCCAGCAGGAGCGAAATGGCGCGGGGGGCAACCCCCCCCCCCCATGTGCGTCCTAGGATGAGAATATGGCATGTGCGGGCGAGAGTTAACCCTTGCCCGTATTAGTTGGTGTTTTGCCAGCCGCGAACGTACGAGGGGGTGGGGGTGGGGTGAGGGGCGGTCCGTTGGACCCGTCCTTGCCGTTTGGCCCCTGATCGAGCTAGAGCTTCGCGAAAAAAAACGAGCGTGTTGCCCATGATGAGAGAAAGCCGTCGATACCCAATTTTAAGGCCCTAGGTCATTGGTTGACATTCCTGGGTCAATGACCTAAAAGTCGGGAAAAGCGGGACCTGTCAGGGGCTCCGCCACAGGGGGGTACGCGGGGGTCCGGACCCCCTCAATAATTTACCTGGGGGGTACAGTACCCCCCAATATTCCGAATACTTATAAGCTTGTTTTCGCGTAAGAATGAATAAATTATTCACAGAATGTGTTGAATTTTTTAGGATGTGTTGACAGTCGCAAGAATAAGGAATTTAAGATCTAGAAATGTAAGGAACCCTTAAAATGTTGTGACACACACACGAATTGCTATATGTACACTCGCCTACATATAGCAACACTCGCCGACCTATATGTATGGGAGTGTCATTATTCTACCATTTTGTTATTACTATAAATGCGTTTAAGATTGCTATAGGATTAGCTAAGCATGCTAGGATTGGGCTATAATTTCGTGAGAGGGGTCCAGCTTGCAGGACACCTCCTAGACACATGAATACCCGCCCCAAAAGAACTTCAAATCGATCTGAGAATCCCTTTACCATGTGAGGTCACCCGATACCGATAGTGCTGAGGGGAGGGGGGGGGGGTCCAAGCCGGTCTTTCGATCACCATACTAGTCTAAGCAGCCTCACACCGTTCTGAGGTAATCTGCAATAATCTGCACAGGGCTCTGAATGCAGGTTGGTAGAGATAGGACATCTACAAGTCACAAGTCTTACAGGGTCCCCATAACCTGACCTGTGATTCAAGTGCAGCATTTTTATATCCATTTTCAGGTCAAGTTAGGTCACACTCTAATCACAGTGACTGAATGGCAGTCTCTAAGGACCCCATACTGCTATATGAGGGCAGGGTTTCAAATCCCTATAACGACTCCTAAATCCATGCGCTTCCCTTTAACTACTTCCTTGAAGGACCCGACACCGGCCTAAAGCCTACAATACATATATCTGAGCGCCTATGAAGGTCCCTGAATTTCCAAGCCCATGCCAGTCACTGAGAGCCTAATGCGCTGTCTGATGGCTAACACCGTCCTTGGAGCGCGCAACAGCGGCCTCAATTCCTCAAGAACGTTGATTTGAGAAGCCAACATGTCGGTGTCAATGGGCTCCGCTTCTCGGTTTTCGATTCCTTGTGCAAACTGGACTTTGGTTTTTCGGTTTGAAGCAAAATTTTCTCGATAAAATTGTTAAGCTTTCTTTGAACTCTGGAAAGAACGGAAATTTATCATCGATTTCTGGAGCTGCAGGGGGGGGGGGGGGGAGGGCGATGAATTCGCCCAAAATGCCCACCCTGGAACCACCAGCGAGGTTTTGTGTTTTGGGTCGGACCCCCCCCCAATCCCAAAACCGTGGCGGAGCCCCTGGGACCTGTTAGAACGTCGTAAAGTGTGGCTGCTGTGGGGTTTTCGAGGTGTTGATCACGAACATCATGTTAGTTTTGATCACAGATGATGTCTTCATGCATTTAGGCCAGGTCGGGTCAGGTCAGGTCAGATCAACCAGTAGGGGTCCGGCCGAGTATTCGTAGTATGTTTCAACCGCCTCTGACAGCTTCGTAACATATTACGAAAGTACCAAAACTACTTCGTAAATGTTAAACTGGCTGCTTAATTCGAATTCAGCTCCAAAAACTAGCCTAGAAACATGTAAAACTCCAAAAAGTGAACAGAGGTCATCAAAGGTCAATGACCTGATCTGACCTACAGGTGACCTTGACACCCACCCTAATGCATGGGACCAACATCATATCACATGTTTGAACGCCTGAAACCACGAAAAGACTGCAAACGGGCGGCTAATGCCAGCCGACATGTGCCGAAACGTGATTCCGGCCAAACATGGTCACGATAAATAGGTCACAGGTCACAGGTCATTTTGGTCAGAGTCATGAACTTTTTAGGTTAGGGGTAAAATTGATTAACTCGAGTGTACTGAAAGTTTCGTCGCGATTGGCCGCTTTTTACGCGAATTATTCGCGAAAAACCGAGGGGGCCGTTTGACTCCCCCTACCCGGGCGAGGGTTAAATCACCGCCATTTCAAGCAACATGCGACTGGTTACACAAGAGCATTGTTCACTTGCCGAAGATAACGTGAGAGCACAGTAACATGGTAGTTTATGTCATCTATGTTCTAGCTAATGCTACAACTGGAAGACGGAAAAAGTATTTGATAAGATGTTATTGTAAAGTACCTACTAAAGTAAAGCTGGTTGTCTGAAACAGTGGTAGTAATCAAACGGGATTTAGTTGGATAAAATAGCTGAGTTTCATTTAGTTAATTGAGTGGTTGGACATTTTTGGACTTAGACGTCAAAATTGATACCCACAAAAATGATAGATAGGTAATATGCTAAAAATGTTAACCGACGACGACAATGTTGCCGAAAGCTCGTCTATATCATCTGATAAATTAGGTTAAGGGCCATTGATTGGCGTTTAAATTTTGACATTTTGAATTAACCGACACCCGTCCACGCAGGAAGCGATACTGAAATGCGCCGAGCTTGTCGTGGAAGAGCTAGAGTGTCGGAACCTCCTGGACAGTGCGGCTGCCCCTTCACGATCACAGCTGCCCAGCGCCGGGCAGTTGCAGGTGGCCAAAAGCAAACAGCTGGCAAACGGCAGGCAGATGCAGTTGACAAGCATGGATCAGTCTCAGTTGGCCAGTTCCAGGCAGCTGCAGCTGTCCAGCAGTCGACAGCTGCAGCTGGCTAGTAGCCGGCAGTCACAAGAAGCCAGCGACAGACAACTGCAGCTGTCCAGCAGCCGACAGCTGCAGGCATCCGGCTGCGGAACGCCACAGTGGGACATGGTCACCCCAACCCAGCCCCAGGTAAGTTAATCTTATCCCTACCATCATGAGTAAAGGAACTTTACCACTTTTAACATGGAATTTTGAACTTGAATAGCAGACTTCTAGCTTGAGCTGAGACGAGCACAAATCAGGAGCCTTTACGGCCCAACGATCGCCCTAGGCAAAGATATTCCATTTCTCGTTCAGGGATCAGTGCCTTACGCAGGAATGTGATGCCTTACGAAAGAATGTCAAGAATGCAGGCACCTCTGGCAGAGGCCAACGTCAGCCAATCAGCATGCAGTTGGTTTTGAACCACGCAATATGGTTGGTTAACGCACAATAACGTTCCGCTGCAAGCACTGTTTAACCTCTCCCAAAGATGGCAAATAGCCTTTCCTATTTGAAAATCATTTAGGAATTCCTTTTGTAAATATGATTCATTTTCTTATCAGTTTGAGCATAAAAAATACCAAATTGTAGCAAAACGTATTTTAGGAAAGTGGCACATAATTTCCTGTATAAAAAGCTTATAGCTCCGGAAAACATTTTGAGAGAGAGTTGCATAATCATTACAATAAAAAGGCTAGAAACTTTAAACAGTGCACGTCAGCATGTGAATGACCCGATAATCCGACGTGATCAAGTCTCTATACCCCACGATTTGCGCAGACGGGCTGTTCCTCCCAGTGCAACCAGCCGCCAGGTGCGCTCTCGGCGATTCAGAGTGCACTCCAAACTCTTCCGCGAGCGCTGGAGAGGGTAAGTGCTGTACATGTAAGGCATGTGTAACTTGCGACATACCTGTGTTCTAGTAAGCTCTCTGTACAGCGAGCTCCTGCTGCAGATTCTGCTCAATTATGCAATGTAGATCTCGGTGTGCGCGCGACCGCTTTCGCGCAGTTGGTTGCGATGCGAGCACTCATCAGGCGCCCCGCCGCGCGCCCTGCTCCGCAGACTTTGCCGGCGGCGCCCGGTCTTCCAGCCCCCACGGCATGGCGGGGTCCGGTGCCGGCAGCCACTCAGCAGACCAGCATGACGCTCACCTTACTGAGGATTGACAACGCGACGGCCTCTGTCCCGGCTCCGACTCCGGCTCCGGTTCCGGCTCCGGCCCCGGCTCAGCCCCGGGCTCCGGGGCGGCCCGCCGCAGCGGAACGGCCACCGCCGTCCGTTTGCCGTGAGTTAACCATGGATCACCTAGTAATTAACTAAGCGTAGGACGGCCGGCCGGCCCTATGGCGATACCCAAAGGGCTCCGAACGGAACCCTGGAAAGGAGCACGGGGGCCGATCCACTCCGGCAAAGACTGACTGGCTGAGGCGACGCCGGTGACTAAGCGACGACTTCCATCTGTGACGCAGGCGGCACTGGGGATTGAATCGATATCTTTCCGCTTCTTGATACAACGGTTTAATTGTCTAGTACGACGTTGGTGTAAGGGCATGTTACGTTTTCAAGTATACAAGTCATGCTTTAAACCATGTCCGTCTTATCTTGCTGACTAAATGAAAGAAAAAAAGAGTAGCTCCTCTGTTGAAAATATAACTTATAGTAGTAACTAAATAACACGTCTTTGCTTTTACTCGATAATCGTCAATATTGTCCGTCTAGTTTATGGACTTTTCAACCTCACGGTACTGATTGTTTTCCCATAAATGTTGTACATTTATTTCAGATTAACCAGCCCCTGATATTTCCCAATATGATCGTTGGTTGAGTTGGAAGAGGCCGTACATTCGTCAGCATTGTACATACATTGTAGCGTTATATCATTGTTCTTTAGGAACTGGAAAATCAGAAAAGTTTTCGGAAGATGGATTGGTTCAAAGTTTACATATTAAATAACGCCATTGGGTTTCCGTGGTTTGGGCGTTACTGGTGTCCACTGTCCTCCAGCACGGACAACAGGAACGGAGATGGGCTGTCCTGGAGCAGACTTTTCGCATTACCAGCACAATCAAAGTAACGAGCCCGCCCTATCGACGGCAGGTCTCCTGGGACGAACCGATAGACTGTGTGACCGCGATCTCAACAAGGCAAGCTTCCAGATCGGCAAGTATCGAAAAACGCTGGGCATCGAGCTTGGGCTCAGCGCTGCTGACATTGAAAACTGCAAATTTCGAGAAGAAGACCCATACGAGGTTAGCTTCGCAATCGCGCGAATCAAATATTATACCCAGCCATGTCCATTGTCCATGGATCCGAGAAAATAGATCTTGGAACTGATCCCGTGATCTTGATGCTGGATCTGAAGGGATCATGGTCCAGCTTTTTAATTTATGTACATATAGAGGGATCCATAGGGATAATACTAATAGATGCAAGTCTGCTTTTTACTTCAGATCCTGATATACTTTTTGGCGTCACGGAACTACCAAATATTCACTTCTTGCAACTCACGAATGTTCTGTTTTAGTTGTATAATGTGATTGCACGTCATAATTCATAGTTATGTGACACTTTTTGACATTGAAACTCTTGGGAACATGGCTTCACATGTGGGATCCACTTTAATCATAGATCCATATTCCATGCTCTTGGTTTATTGTCAGATCGATATATTTACACGCGGGATCCGGTGGGATCATAGGTCCTAGTTTGCAGTTTGCTTTGAGATCCACTGAGATCATAGATTCATCACTCGGATCCATGTACCTACATTGCACATGTCTGGTTATAGGTACAGGTATGTACAGTCCACAGCAGAAGTAATGTGGGGTTTCAGTCATGGGTATGTTCTGCTTCTGAAGCTTAGGAACGATTAGCCAGACTACAATGAAACTTTGAACGTAGCTTATATGTATCGTCACCTTTGCAGCTGCAACGTTAGCTATTGACATCTTCTTTTCGATCACTCCGCATTAAACAATCGCCAGTCAAAGCCAACCGTTGAGATTGGTAAAAACCCTACATTACTTTAGCGGTGGGCTGTACATACCTATACCACTCATTCATTTTGGGTTTTGATTATTTATGAAAACGAGTCAGGGAGTCAGAGCTAGTCGACAGTGTACGGTTTTCTGTAAATGAAGTTACAATTTCCCTTGCACAGAACAGATAATATGGTATGACAATCTTAGCGTGTTATTGTTAATATAACAGGAACAGCGCCATTCGCAATTCGCATCGAGTCGGGCTGCACTGACCTGTATACACGTACCTACACAGGTGAACCGTCGCATCCTGAGGAAGTGGCGGGAAAAGATGGCGGGTAGAGCGACCGTCGGCGTCCTCTGCGCGGCGCTGTGGAAAGTCGGCGCCAGGGACGCCCTCACCGCTCTCGCAGAGGGGCAATCATGACCGACCGTGCTGCCCGAACACACTTCAGGGCAAGGAGTTCGGATTTGACCCCATAGTCCAATGCTATAGGCTCGCCGGACATATTTATTTGTTGTGTTCAATAAAGTTGACTGTGAACGTTCCATGCGATCCAAGTGCAAACAGTGCGAGTCTTGGTTGTAGGTACTTGAACGTATGCTGCCTGATTAGCAGAATGCTGACAACGTTTAAAGTTTATAGCACAGTTGATGACCGAACTCACTAAAACCCCATGCGTTAAACCTACTAAAGATGGCTTCAGGATCAATCAATATAGGATCATCAGGATCAATCTGATAATAGCCGTTTTCACGATGGCCATCTGGTACACATTTGGTACACATCTGGTGCAGATCAGGTGCAGATTTGGTCAAATCAGGTTCAGTGCATCTCTTAGTAGCTATCAGCTAGAATTGCACTAACTGCTTATATGCCTGCTTTGTCATATTATCAGAGAGTTCCATCGATTAGAACACTGAAATAAATTCATAAAATAAAGATATTTGCTGTAAAAGAGATTAGGTGCAGATTTGGTCAAATCAGGTGCACTCGCCGGAAAGCCCGTCGTGAAAACGGCTTGTGTCTCTTAGCACTAGCAGCTAGGGTTGCACTAATTGCTTATATGCCTGCTTTGTCATATTATCAGACAGCATCATCGATTAAAACACTGAAATAAATTCATAAAATGAAGATATTTGCTGTAAAAGAAATTAGGTGCAGATTTGGTCAAATCTGGTGCATTCGCCGGATAGCCCGTCGTGAAAACGGCTAATATGACATAAAATTACTTTATCCATTTTCAAACGTTTCGACTTTATTCAAAGTCATCTTCAGTGTTAACCCGCGAGTTGCTGGGGGGGGGGGGGACGTTAAACGCCCCCACTTTTTTCGCCGGGCCATAGCATCCGTGCCAAATTTTGGGTACCTGTAGGGAATTGATTGAAGTCTATTGTGACAAAATTTCAAAAAATCGGTCGGAAAATTTTGAGATATCGAGGTTTTAGTGACGTCATGATTTCTGAGTTTTCGACCAAGAACGGCATATGTTCAAAAAATCATATAAAATCACAGAATAGACATACAGACATGCCGTAAACGGCATTAGACTGCCAATACCATGAACAATCAAATGGCTATCTTCGATTATTGATTATCGTTTCGCATTTGCCAAAATCTTGATCTGAATCTTGGCAATTTCTCGTGACTAACTACTTCACGACCATGATACATACATTTCTTAAATTGAACTTTTTGAGCCAAACACGTACACATATGATAAAATGAATGTCACCATCGTGTTCTACGACCCAAATTACCCATAAACATGTGTCACAGGCTGCGAATATCAGTTTTGATTTTCGGGGATATGTGCCTACCCGGTTGACCTGACCTTGACCCTGACCTATGCTTGACTGACCCCTACATGGGGCTGACACTCTTGTAGGCCTTATATGATGGATTGTGCACCGTTTTGACAGAGTTTATGACGAGAGGCGCTCATTGCGAAGTCCTGAAGTCCATGCTACTGAAAGCCCGATTTCAGGTGTTTGACCTGACCTTGACCCGACCTGTGACCTCAAAATTCAATTTTAAAGTACTCATCTGAAGCGTCTCGTCGCGTTCTTTCGTTTGCCGCCTCGTGCGTTTCGCTGCGCCTATTGGTTCTCGAGTTATCGGCTGGGGGCGTTTAACGCCCCCCCCCCCCCCCCAGCAAACGGTGGGTGGCGAAATACCCCAGCAACTGCCGGGTTAAGATAGACAAGTACACAATTACATGCTGACATAAATATACAAGCTATGTTCTTGATACAAGCAGTCGATGCATGGTCGATGCAGGGTATCAGTCGATGCACATCACACACTTTACGAAAAAACAAGACATAAAACATCATTCGTGTTGATTCGGTCGTCTTCCTACAGAACGATACGTTTAAACGCAGATGATCGGTCATTGATGGTCGGTTTCGCTTCAAATATGTGTAAAGATTCTAAAATTCGTAAATTGAAGTTTGAGCGTTTTTGATCTATGATTTTGAAATCGTCTATACTGAAGGGGGTGTCATATGCTAAAGAATGATCCCGTACAGACGATGCTACTGGACTGGATAAGAGTTCGCCCGTTCTGTGTGACCTACCCCTGTGTTGGCAAACTCTGCTGTGGAGCCTAACATAGGTAGAACCTATGTAAGATCCTTCACACGAAGGACAACTGAACTTATAAACTACAGCAGATCGACACATTTTAGGGATAGAGTCCTTGAATTTGAACAGAGATCCAAAAGTGAAGTTGTTTCTGAGAATGAATCGCGGGCTTAGATATGGGTAGTACTTTTGTAGGAGAGCGCTTATTTCATTTTTGAGCTTAATTGAGCGTTTTCCGAAAAACGGCAAAGTGAAAAAGCTGATCGACTGATACCCTGCATCGACTGCTTGTATATTTATGTCAGCATGTAATTGTGTAGGTACATACTTGTCTATCTGAAGATGACTTTGAATAAAGTCGAAACGTTTGAAAATGGATAAAGTAATTTTATGTCATACCTACTAAAGAATATCGTAAGACGAACGTTGCGACACATTTATATACCTATGACGAAATTTAGTAATTACAAAATTGACGCTTTCACATTAAGGAACGTGTAACATAAAATCACAATTAACAGTCCAACTGGATCTGTCTTGTCTCTAACTCCAAAAGGCAAATGGTCATCAACAGCTTCCGCACGCAAAAAATCAAAACCACCGTTCACGTTCTTTAACATGTCATACAGCATGCGCTAAACGTGTATGTAGTTGCTTAGGGACTGATACCTTTGCTTTGTGATAACCTGAGTTGTGAGATGATTTGTCGAGGCATGTCGAGGAAATAATAGCCGTTTTCACGACGGCCATCTGGTACACATTTGGTGCACATTTGGTGCAGGTTAGATGCAGATTTGGTCAAATTAGGTTCAGTGTGTCTCTTAGTAGCTATCAGCTAGGGCTGCACTAATTGCTTAAATGCCTGCTTTGTCATATTATCAGTGAGATCGATTGAAACACAAACAAATTCATAAAATAAAGTTATTTGCTGTAAAAGAGATTAGGTGCAGATTTGGTCAAATCAGGTGCACTCGCCGGATAGCCCGTCGTGAAAATGGCTATTAGGTATATATGTCACTTTCTGGTGTTCTCACGTTTCAACGAGCTCTTTGGTGATCAAAGTAATAAAGTCGTGGTTGTTTGCAATTTTTATTTGTCATTCTCAGACTAACTAAAGTAGCTTGCTGCTAGCAAAAGCGAAACATACATATATGCAGTGCGATTCTTTCAATGACTAACTCCAAATGCCAGAGTATGCAACACATAGGTAGGTTCATTGACCTATAATAAGTATAGACAGACTACTCTGGCGCCTGAAGGCCGTTCCCGCTGAGCGACACTAGCGCCACCGTACGTGTAAGGGCACGAACTAATGACACAAAGCTTTGCCTATGGGAAAAACGCGAAAGTTTATCAACTTCTTTCTCGTAAATAACAAGACGGAACGGAACGAGACTGCGTCTACAATGTAGGAGCGTCCAAGCTTAATCACTTGAACATAGCACAAAGTCATAGGGTGAGGGACACGGCACGCGCCACGTGCCAACTAAGTGGTGACAAATTTGTTCGATCAACAATAACTTTACAACGACTGGGTTGATTGAGCTGAAACTTAGCATGTCGGTGGACATGCAAATGATAATGCATTTCCACGTGTCACGGTTTGGGTGCTGCTGCACGTGCGCACGCGCAGGGTACGCTTCCAGATCTCGAGAACGGCTGGGCCGATTGCGCTCAAATTTGGTATGTCGTTAGGGACTGTTTGACAGGGTGCCGTGCGTATGTCAGTTTGGGTCCAGCTTGCACGTGCGCACGTGCGGGGGTCGCTTCCACATCTCGAGAGTGGCTGGGCAGATTGTGCTCAAATTTGGTACACCGTTAGGGACCGTTTGGCAGGGTGCCGTGCACAAGTCAGTTTGGGTCCAGCTTGCACGTGCGCACGTGCGAGGGGTCGCTTCCACATCTCGAGAGTGGCTGGGCAGATTGTGCTCAAATTTGGTACACCGGTAGCGACCGTTTAGGAGGGTGCCGTGCTCAGGTGCATTTGGGTCCAGTTTGCACGTGCACACGAGCGGGGCCACTTTCACATCTCGAATGAGCGGCTTTGCCATTGCGCTCAGAATCATCATTTCTTGATCCGTTAAAGGAGCATTCGGCTTCACTATCACGTAGTTTTCCAGGTCTCATGCGCGTTTCTCTTCATGATTGCGAATTCGATTAATACAGTTTGTTAGTTGATTCAACATTATGTATTGTGTATTTAAGATGAAGCTCAGCAGTAACATTCATGACATCATCAAATCATAGTCAAAGCATATGAAGACGTGAAAATAATGTTCATGGTAGTAGAGACTGTGGGATGAGTGGCGATATACTCATACCAATCTGGGCCCTGTTCATGAACCCCGGCGGTCGCTGCGGCCGCTGCGGTCGCTGCGGCCAGCCGGGTTGTTACGTCACAAAAAGGGGCGGGACTCATGTAGTATGACGAATGTATGACGTCATCTTGCTGCGGCCGCTGCGATCTCTGCGGCCGCAATCCAGCGACCGCCGAGCCTCAAGAAAACTAATTGCACTGAACTTGGCGCACTGAAGTCAAATAGGCGCAAGCCGTGTTGTCATGGAGACGATTTTGTAAACAAATTATCTACCGGTGTCCTTCAGTTGTAAACAATTGTCGGAAACTATTTCGACAGCAGACGCTGTTCATGGAACGCTGCTGCGGCCGAGTGAGTGATGACGTTTCAAAAATGGGCGGAGCTTAGAGCCTGCGGCCGGCCGCAGCGGCCGCAGACTTCATGAACAGGGCCCTGAGTGCACATAATGATACATGATTTCATTCACCCATGAGCCTCCCGCGCCCGGGTGGGCCTTTCAGCCAGCTTCGCCATAGTGATGGGAGGAGGGGGGACGTATTTGTCCACGCCATATTATCTCGCAAAGGAAGAAAGGTAGAAAGATGCGGAATGGGCAGTAGGTAGCTCGCTATAAGAACTTTGAGAATCATCTAGACCATTTTTC